GTAAATAATGAAAGTCTGGACCAGACAATCCAGTGATCAACATCATGAGCATTGTTCTATGCAATTGGGATACAATGATATGTGTCAACCAAGTCAGCGAGCCTGACCACCCAATCACGTCAGTCGCCTCTTACGACAAGCATGGCTTGTTGAATACCGATTCTAACACTGATCTTCACATGTCACATACTTAATGAAACTGTGTTATACATCCATCAAGGTAAAAAGCAGTGGTGCAAAAATTCTAAAAATTTACTTTCACTTTGTAAGAGTTCACTGTATGACAACATTCAAAGTTTGGTCATCTTAATCTTTGATGAATCAGGCTCCAATCGCGTCCCACGAGAATTCTTCAACACATAAAAAGAAATGTCCAGAAGATGTTTACAGATATACAGAGCTCCAGATAAGGCGCTTATTTGTGTATTTTACGCAATGACAATGACATCAACTCAATTAATTATAAATCTGGGAGTGCACAAAATGCATAAGAATCACTTAAAACCCAAGAGGTCTATAATACTTTGCATATTTTACTCAATTAACTAAATTGGCTTGCGTATGAAACATTCGTCATGGCACCCAAATTCTACAACAGGTGGCTGTCAAACTTAGGGATTGTCTGATTTACAATTTGAATGAAGAACAATATTGATTTATAAAAGTTTGATTAGTCAAAATACAGATTAAATCTTAGTGCTGAGAAATGAATTGCAAATATATGGCAATATAAGAATTGCTAAAGACTTAGGTCTATTGAGAAGCATTTATATGTATATATTTAGAAGTGTTAATTACCCAATAAGGATAAGAAACTCTGTGTAAAAGTACTCATTTCTTTAAACTATTGGGAGTATACAAAATGCTAGTTACTCCTCAAACGAACGCAATTACACATACATAAACAGATATGGGAGTAAATACCTAATTCCTTGAAAAATTATCTGGAGCTCTGGATATATGTTGCTTTCAGGATCAGTATCATTGTTGCCCAGTTGTGGGAACCAATGCTCATGACGTCAATCACTGGATTGTCTGGTCTACATTGTATTATTTACAAACCACTGTCCTATAGCTGGAATATTGTCGAGTGTCATGTAAAGCAACAAACCAACAAATCATTGATTCATTTAAAATGAGGTGGGGTAGCCTAGTGGTTAAAGTGTTCACTTGTCACGGCAAAGGTCCAGGTTCGATTCCCCACATGGGTACAATGTGTGAAGCCCATTTCTGGTGTCCCCTGCCGTGATATTGCTGGAATATTGCTAAAAGCGGAGTAAAACTAAACTCACTTACTTGTAATTCTACAGTTTAACATAGGCTTACAAATGTTGCAGCGCTATGAGCGCTTTCATTTAAACTGATGTCTAACCCTCCATAATCAAGACTGATGCCAGCACTCTTCAAAACCACAATCAAATAAAAACATTTCCACAATCATATATACAAAATGTCAGTAGTAGAGATAATCTGAATTATCTTCCATTAGTCATAAAAGGCGAAATAGTTATGAAAATTTATATGACTGTTTCACTGTAACTTCTGCCCAAAGCAAACCCTGAAAGCATCATAAGTGTAAGTTGATGAATCACTATAAAATAGGTAAGAAGCGTGGCGTTTGTGCAAAGGTGAGTATATCCACACCCTCCGGTCTAGTGCTGTCACAGTAGAATCTGTGACACAGCCAACTGACTGCAGATTCCAATCATCTTGCAGTAAATTTCTTCATCTGGCTGGTGTTTTAATGTAATAAATGAAATGGCGCCTGATGGTATACCAAGGTTGCATTTGGTGCCAGTGTTCATCACGTTAATATCTCCAACTTTATTAAGCAGTCCTAAACTATCAAAATGGAAATATGGTGAAACAGCAATGTTTATTCCGCATCAAAATGCTTTCATCTAAATGAGGATTTTCTGTCATGGGTTTACTTGTTATCTCTGAAAAGAATAGCCTCATCAAAATTACTTCAAATGTTTTTTGCCAATGTTTTCATTTATTTCTCAGTTATAAATCTTCATCTTTATACAACTATAGAGAATTAAGAACAACACAGTGAAAACAGTAAAACTTAAAGTAGAGATGGATTCTTTGAATTAATGAGTGAGTTTAACTTTGTGCCGCTTTTAGCAATATTCCAGGAATATTATAGTGGGGGACACCAGAAATGGGCTTCACACATTGTACTGACTGACTGACTGAGTTTGATTTTATGCCGCTTTTAGCAATATTCCAGCAATATCACGGCGGGGGACACCAGAAATGGGCTTCACTCATTGTACCCATGTGGGGATTCGAAACCCGGGTCTTCGGCGTGACGAGCCAACACTTTAACCACTAGACTACCCCACCGCCCCTCACACATTGTAACCATGTGGGGAATCAAACCAGGAATGAGTGAACACCTTAATGACTAGTTTACCCCATCACTCCAAATGGCTGAGTGAATGAGTGAGTGAGTGATGAAAACAGTCAGCATGATCCCAGAGGCATTGCTGCCTCTAAAAAGCTCAAGTCCTTGTCAGACGTGTCAGCCATTAAATCGTCTACCTACTTCCCACAAATGGAAAGTTTGATGGTTTATTGGTTGCTTTACACATTCCAGCAATATGAGACCGTCTCCGAGCGTCCGCCCGGGAGAGCGGAAGGTCGCGGGTTCGATCCCCGACAGCGTCATACCAAAAAGACGTTAAAATATGGTACTTGTTGGTCCCTGCCTGGCGCTTGGTACAACAAGGACTGGTCGGCTCGGAGTCAGTATAATGTGTCTGTGTGGAGTATTCCTGCTTCACTGCGGCATGGTATCTCAGTGGGATAGCACTACAAAACCAGCTTCAGTCTGGGCTAGTACAAGCAGCCGCACCTACACATACACACGCACGCACGTCGTCATATGAGCGAAATATTCTTAAGCACGACGTTAAACCCAATTTCACCTCACCTCCAGCAATATGATAGCATTTCGTAAATAACTGAGTCTGAACCAGACAATCCAGTGACTCAAATCATAAGCAAGTGTTACAAATGAAAGGTGCACCTCTCCCAAGGTTACAAGGACACAGCAAGATATCAACAAAAAGTGGAACTGGAAGTGGAAGAGGATTCATAAACTAATATGACCAACTGAATTACTGTCACTGACATCATCAAAAACCCAGTTACATATGAGTCATCAGATCAGGCCTGGAAATCAATGATACAACAAAAAAAAGGCTTTATCCACTTTGATCAAACAGACCTTTATATAAAATCATTACAGAATAACAGAGCTTCACGTTGGATCATTTTCTGGGACACTGACTGCTTGTCAACCTAAATGGTTTATAGACAGCTTTCAGTTTGCGTGATTGTATTGTAAAACACATCCTAATGGCACTTGTCGCCAGCCGGTCACTGTACTAAAAGGAAAGTAGAACAAAACTGTCAACGTTGATCTATCTCTGAACTCAATTAGCACTGTACTTTGGCAAAATAACTGCATATCATTTTGAAAAAAAACTGTTGACAAGATATCATGATATCATCACATTGTTAAAGTTATGTCATCTCACAACTTCTCCATATGAAATAGTGATATTTTCCAGACAATTTCAGAAAGAAGCAAATGGATTCTGGGAAACTAATTGCTTCAACGGATGTGTTTGTTTCTTGTTTAACTCTGCACTCAGTATTATTCAAGTCTGGTATTTATCAGATCTGGACCAGACATTTCAGTGATCAATATCATGTTCATCATTTTAGGCCAGTGGGATACGATATATGCGTTAACCAAGTCAGCGAGTCTGACCACCCAATCCCATTAATCGCCTCTTTGGACAAACATGGGTTGTTGAAGATCAATTCTAACCCGGATCTTGATGGGTCACAGCAGATTACCGGGTAGTCTTATTTGGAATGCAACATTGAAACGTTATTGCTTTCACTGATAGTGTCAGTCTTATTGACAGCTCAATTTGAACTATTTGACTTTGGGTGTACTGAACTAAAATGTACAAACATTAGTTGAGTTTTTAAAGGATGATCAAGTATTTGATTATACTTTAAAATGAGTGAGTGAGTGAGTGAGTGAAAATTGTTTTGTGCCTCTTTCTCCCAACTATATTACATTATTAGATACTGGGTCGCATATGTGTGGAATCACACCTGGAGTATGACAAATGACCACAAGTGAGCAACTGAGTACGGTTTTATGCTTTTTTTTTTCATTATTCCAGCAATATCGTATCAAGGGACATCAGAAATGGGCTTGATACATTGTACCCATGTTGGGAATCAGACCAGGGTCTTCAGCATGACAAATGGATGCTTTAACCATTACCTGAACTCACTCAGTATTTGTTATCATCTGTGAATTATTTTTCTCTAACAATTTTCCCTTTCTGAAATCTGACGTGACAGTAACATCCTACATGTGATCAGTGTGTTGCAAGACAAATGATGTTTTGTATGGCAGCTGTTCCCCTGGTCAAAGTTGACAACTGCAAATAATGTTTAAAGAGTGAGTGAGTGAGTGAGTGAGTGAGTGAGTGAGTGAGTGAGTGAGTGAGTGAGTGAGTGAGTGAGTGAGTGAGTGAGTGAGTGAGTGAGTGAGTGAGTGAGTGAGTGAGTGAGTGAGTGAGTGAGTGAGTGAGTGAGTGAGTGAGTGAGTGAGTGAGTGAGTGAGTGAGTGAGTGAGTGAGTGAGAGTGGTGAGTGAGTGAGTGAGTGAGTGAGTGAGTGAGTGAGTGAGTGAGTGAGTGAGTGAGTGAGTGAGTGAGTGAGTGAGTGAGTGAGTGAGTGAGTGAGTGAGTGAGTGAGTTGGGTTTTACGGCGCTTTTAGCAATATTCAATCAATATCATAGTTGGGACACCAGAAATGGACTTCACACATTGTACCCATGTATGGAAACACAGGCCTTCCATGTGACAAGCGAACACTTTAACCACTAGACTACCCCACCACCCCAAATAATGTTTAAAACCAGTTTAATGTTTAAATCTAATACCAGTTTCCTGTTTCAGGCACTAATGTTTCCGGGATGGCAGACTACTATGACTACCCTGGATCCCTGTATGAAAACCCCTGTGGCAAAGACTTCTTAAACCAATCAGAGCTCAAAGTCAGCAACATCATCCAGCGCTACATCTTTCCCATCATCCTCTTCATTGGAACTGTGGGTAATCTGACATCAATCCGCTACCTGCATAACCTGAGTGTCAACGTCTGGTCAACATGCTTGTATCTCACTGTCCTCTCCCTCATCGACCTTGTCACCCTCTACGTCGACTGCGGCAATAAGTGGTTCAAGATTGTTTCTGGCATCAACCTTAGCGTAAAGATCAGTGAGACCTCTGGCGCCGTGTGTAAGGTTTATCCTTTCATTTTCCAGTTCTTCCTCCACTTAAGTCCTTGGATCGTCGTGTCAACGTCTGTGGAGCTAACCATTGCCTCAAAGTTTCCGCATCTGACCTATAAGATGTGCACACGTGAACGTGCCAAAGCTGTTATGCTGCTCACAACAGTCCTGCTTCTGTGTCTGAATATGCCCTACTTCTGGACTTATGGACTGGTCAAGTATGCAGAAACTCCAGACAATGTCATCACAGTCTGCGTCTACATTGAAGAGTTCTCAGAATATTTCCGGGACACAATATGGCCCTTCATCAACCTGGCTGTTGGACATATTGCCCCTCTGCTTGTCGTCACAGCTTGCTTCTTTATAACCATATCCTCATATCTAAAGTCAGACAGTGCGTGTAAAGTCAAGCTGGAAAAGTACTTCATGGATTTGAAATCTCTGCAGCAGTTGAAGGTTACTTTTATCATCATCTGTTTGTTCTATGTGATCGTTGTTACCATGAAGATCCTGCTGGTTATTGTCAACTACCTGATTGCTCAAAACATCATCATCATCCCCTGTTCTCTGGATTCCCATGTAACGGCAGTCATGATGTTGCTTGGGTCCCTATGGGACATGCTGTTCTACTTGTTCCTCAGTGTGAAGTTTTTCATATATTTGGCCACATGTAAAAGATTCCGCTGTGAGATTTATCAACTTCTTTGTCGCATTGGACGTGGACTTCATCGAAGAGACAGAGTGACCTTGACCTCAGGAAACCGCTATGATGCAAAGCCCCTGATGCAGCATGGGAACAATGTGAGAAATAGTGTTTCCTATCCACAAAGGAAGGATCTGGCTGAGGATGCAGGTCCTGGTGTTACGACAGCTGTGTGAGCAGTGTCAGGATCTGCAGCTGTACCCAGTTTCTCCTTCCATGTTCCCCAGCAGAAGCTTTTCTTCCATCCTGGCAACACACCAGTGGCTCTCTGTACATAGTGTTGTATATAAGCTCCATGTGTCTGTGTGAAGACTTCACTCTGTGTCCAGGCATAAATCATTGTGTAGAGATTTCACTCTGGATGACAAGATGGTCAACAGTATGTGAGATTTCACTGTATACCACCAAGTGGTCATGAGTGTGTGAGATTGCACTGTATATGACAAGGTGGTCATCAATGTGCGAGATTTCAGTCAGTATGACAAGATGGTCATCAGTGTCTGGAGAATTCACTGTATATGACAAGGTCGCCATCGGTGTGTGGAGATTTTACTCTGTATGATGAGATGGACTCAGTGTGTGAGAATTCACTGTATATGACAAGGTCGTCAACAGTGTGTGGAGATTTCACTCTGTATGACGAGGTCGACATCAGTGTGGGAGATTTCACTGTATACAACAAAGTGGTCAACAGTGTGTCAAATTTTACTGTATATGACAAGGTTGTCATCGTGTGGAGATTTCATTCTATATGATGAGATAGTCATCGGTGTGTGGAGATTTCACTTTATATAACGAGGTGGTCATCGGTGTGTGGAGATTTTACTCTGTATGATGAGATGGACATCAGTGCGTGAGAATTCACTGTATATGACAAGGTCGTCAACAGTGTGTGGAGATTTCACACTATATGACGAGGTCGACATCAGTGTGTGAGATTTCACTGTATATGACAAGGTCGTCATTGGTGTGTGGAGATTTTACTCTGTATGACGAGGTGGACATCAGTGTGTGAGTTTTTACTATTTACAACAAAGTGGTCAACAGTGTGTCAAATTTCAGTGTATATGACAAGGTCGTCATAGGTGTATGAGATTTCACTCTGTATGAAGAGGTGGTCAACAGTGAGTGAGAATTCTCTGTATATGACAAGGTCGTCATTGGTGTGTGAGATTTCACTCTGTATGAAGAGGTTGTCAACAGTGAGCGAGAATTCTCTGTATATGACAAGGTCGTCATCGGTGTGCGAGATTTCACTCTGTATGAAGAGGTGGTCAACAGTGTGTGAGATTTCAGTCTGTATGACAAGGTCGTCATCGGTGTTTGAGATTTCACTCTATAAGAAAAGGTCGTCATTGGTGTCTGGAGATTTCACTCTACATGACTGAGATTTACATGTTGTGTCCAAGTATTTCTACACATGAAGAATACAATACAGCTGGATGTATGTTCACTGTAAATGACACTATAGTGAAGTTGTGTCACAGTTTCATTCTATAAAAGTTTAATGAAGCAGGTTTGAGCATATATCATTCTATTTGAAGGGAGAACGCAGTTGTGTGAATGTTTTATTCTATATGATGGACTACTGGAGTAAATTGGCAATCAATGTGCCCAGACAGGACAGCTGTGTTGAAATTTCCCTGCAAATGTTGCATGCATGTATATCAGAGGATGATACAGTTCAGTGGACATACCACTCTAGAATAAAGTAATGCTACAGGACAGGTCCTTCACTATTTCTCAACGCAGATGACTGGAAATATTCCATATAGAATTGACATGAGGTTGAGACTGTGTAATGGACTTCTACATACTACTCAATCAAACTGTGATACATACTTGTTCACCACACGAAACAGTGGAACCTACTGCCAAAAGAATCCTTTCATCATTCTCGGTGACCTCAACAAGCCAGTTACAATGCAGACGTACCCCCAAGCAATGAAACATTTGGATGCATCTATACCTGACACATCTACTAGCGTGAACAGCCATAGAAAGGACATCCATTAAAAAGCCTGAAATTCTAGATTCAATCAAAATACCAACTGTAGTAGACAAACTGTATCATGTAAGAGAGCTAGTGTCAATTTGTATCCCTTGAGTACAAGAGTGAGTAAATTTGATCAAATGTCTCTTTGAAGAGTATTTCAGTTACATCAAGGCAATTCTTTGCCAGCTTGGTGTAGGGAAAAGCCCCAAGTGGTGCAGATCATAGATGCTTACCATTTTGATGAAACCACAAGCAGACGTATGGTTCTGATACATAAGTGTTCTGGGTTCCGATCCATACAGTTTTCGTAGAGCAACGAATAGTCATAATGACCTGTCATAACTCTATAGTTTATCATAGGCTTACGAAAGTCATAGCACGATGAATGTTTTGTGGATTGGGAGCCAGGACATACAGGCAATCAAACCACAGTTTTCTGCCACACCTATGGAAAGTATCACTGCAAAGTTCCCTGAATCATCTGTGAGTAGCAGTTATACCATGGACGTAGGTCAAGGCCCCTGTGAAGATCCGGTGAAGATCCGGGTTAGAACTGATCTTCAGCAGCCTATGTTTGCCGTAACAGCAACAGGCGACTAACGGGATTGAGTGGTCAGGCTCACTGACTTCGTTGACACATCGGTACCAATTTGTGTAGATCGATGCTCATGCTTTTGGTCACTGGATTGTCTGGTACAGACTTGATTATATACAGACCGCCACCATACAGCTGGAATATTGCAGAGTGTGGCGTAAAACTAACCTCACTCACTCCAAATAAGTGACGGTGAGTAAGATGACTTCATATCATGTCAGACAGTGTCTCTCAGAGAATATAGGACCATCCAGGTGAAACTTCAAGACAGTGAACGGTCACAAAATATCCAAGACCAGTACTTTCAAAGGTCAAAAGATGACATTATCTGTCTTTTGATACTTATTTCAAACAAGAACCTGAAATCTGCTGAAATGGCTGTTAATCAACTTAAGTACTTCAATCAGAAACATGACAATATAGATCTGGCTTGCTAGTACTTCAAACAATTACAAGATGATATAGGTCTGTCAGTACTTCAAACAATTACAAGATGATATAGGTCTGTCAGTACTTCAAACAATTACAAGATGATATAGGTCTGTCAGTACTTCAAACAATTACAAGATGATATAGGTCTGTCAGTACTTCAGTACTTCAAATACTTCAGTAATACTACAATGGAGTTAGGTTCATCTAGTTGCTGAATCATCATATTCATCCTCAGAACAATACTGACTTAATGTACACGCTTCTGTTGTTTATATTCATGAAACATGGCGTTGTTATCAGACATAGGGGCATTTTCTGCATCTCCCTGAAATCAAATTCAAGTTGATGTGTTGAAAAATCAACAGATGATGTAAATCAAGAAATTAATGCGTCACCAAATTTATGCAAGCACCATCAACCTGGTCTAGAATACATCCTGAAATTCATGTGGGCATCCATACTGTTGAAAACTGAAAACATCTCATTCACTGGCAACTATCAAGGAATCATTATCACACAGTTTACAGTATTCACAATTCAATTTCAGTAACATCATGGACTTTTCGTATATATCTCAGTTCTCTTATGAATTCACAATGCCATGTAGAAAGGGGTCTAATGTAACGCACGTTATATTTGGGATTACACTTTATCAGTAAAGTACAGATTCTAGTACTTTTATTGGTTTGAGTCCCATCTGGGATTCAAACCCACCCACACACTCAGTCAGGCACCTAATCGCAAGCACATAAGTCAGCCGTCTAACCCACCCAGTCACCACGGCTTCCACCCAGTACTCTTGTTAGACATGAGACTTAACTTATAAGCCAAGGGTTTTCAGAGTGAAACAAAAAGATTAAAACAACAAAAAAACATTTCTCAAAACATCCAATGATTTTGTAAGAGCAGAAGCCAATATGGTTCCCAGCGTTACATCAATAAACTTTTGTTTAAAACAAAGTAGCTTTTTATGTGATAAGTGCCATTGTTTCTGGTAAGTGCAGTCACTGTGCATCCAAAACAATAAAAGACAATAACACAAGCCATGATAAAAGTTTACCACTTCATGAAATTGAGCAAGTGTGACAAGCATTCTTTGAATTAATTTCATGATTTACAACATCCAAAACAATTTTGTATAAATAGTTCTCTTCCTCAGAAGGTCAAGGACGTTTTACTTCCATATCTGTCCACCTGTCTGTTGTCTGTTGTATATACGTTTCTGTAGTAGATTAGATACGCAGACTGCCATTGCAAGATGGTCATTAAGTTTACTGTCCTGTCACAGATGATAGGAATGGATGATATATGTATAACTTTGCTGTGTAATAAAGATTGCTTACATATCACTGCATTGCTCTTCTGTCAGGGATTGGAGGCTCAAGTTGAATCTTGAGAAGGGGATTGAACTAACAACTGGTATTCCTCATAAGTTTGCGAGTTTAGTTTACATTTTGTGCATGTTTTGTTCGAGATTTTTGTGACCATTGCTTCAAGACATAAACATGCAATGCTATGACAGATTAACTACAGTGAACTGAAAGAATTGATCAGTGGTTAAAAATGGTTTACACCACAATCAGCAAACATAGCACTTTTATAATGGGATTTTTCTGGTGAGTGAGTGAGTGAGTGAAAGTGGTTAATACCAAGGTCAGCAACGTAGCTGTAAATATTTCAAGACAGTGTGTGAAAGCGGTAAACCACAGAAAGGAACATAGAAGTCGTAATAATATCATGGACACTATCGAGTAAGTGAGTGAGCGAGTTGGGTTTTACGCCGCATTTACCAATATTCCTGCAATATCACAGCAGGGGGACACCAGAAATGGTCTCCACACATTGTATCCATGTGGGGAATCGCACCCGGGTCTTCGGTGTGATGAGCAAACGCTTTAACCACTGGGCTACCCTACTACCCACTATCGAGTGAGTGAGTAGAAAGGGTTTATAGCAGTCAAAAAGATCTCAAGCATGTTTTGGAGGTCAAGTGGTACAATGTATTTGCATTTTGTCAATCTCCAGAAAGCACTAAAAAAACAACTAACATTTGGCCACTCTAAGTGAGTAAGCCAGTGAGTATGGTTTTATGCCACTTTTAGCAATATTCCAGCAATATCACGGCAGGGGACACCAGAAATGGGCTTCACACATGTGAGGAATGGAACCAGGTTTTTCAGCGTGATGAGCGAATGTTTTTACCAAAAGGCTACACCACCAACCCTGCCTCTCTAAGCAAAGAACAGCATTACAATTTCAGTCCAGCATGTCAGCTCGATGTGGCAGGAAAGTTCAAAGTGATGCAGGTCTCTGACATTTACAACTTGGGTGAAACTCATGAGCATGGGACTGGTGCTGACAAACCTTGAAACATAGTCTGGACATACTGGGATTCAACCCATGATCAGATTCCTGGTAAAGCCCCAAGGGACACAACTCTTGAATTGCAGCACCTCAGACTATTCAGCCACATGTATCCCCAGTATAAAGTAAGCTTCCACACTGGATTGGAAATGTGAGAAAAATACAGCAGAACTTCAAGGACATCATAGAACATGGTTATGGACTCATTTATATTTATGACTTTTTTCTTTTATGAAACAAGTTATCTGGAAGAGTTTGACGTCACCAGTGATTGTCTAGCTTCAATCAAGTCTAGGCTCCATTTGAAAAGTTTTGACATACGTTTCCTGTGCAAAAGGCAGAAATCTTTCAGATTTGATTGATGAGGTACATCAGAAAAAGCACAACTCTGCAATCTATTTTCCAAGACAAAATGGATCCCAATATGGGAAAGTAATATCTACAAGTTTTTAACTACATTGTCAAGAAATATTTTTATCTACCCCAGTTATGTTGAGTCTTTGCGACCAGCTGAGTTACAACCTGATTTGCCCCTGCTGTCCTTGCAGGAGGAACTTCAATATGTGCTGTGTGATTAACATCATGTTCAGTATTATGTACTGCCCGGAGAGCGGACTATACGGGACCGCCTCCGTGGTGTAGTGGTTAGAGCGTCCGCCCGGAGAGCGGAATGTTGCGGGTTCGATCCCCGACCGCGTCATACCAAAGACGTTAAAATATGGTACTTGTTGGTCCCTGCCTGGCGTTCGGCATTACTGGGTACAACAAGAACTGGTCGGCTCGGAGTCAGTATAATGTGTCTGAGTGGGGTATTCATGCTTCACTGCGGCATGGTATCTCAGTGGGCTAGCACTATAAAACCAGCTTCAGTCTGGGCTAGTACAAGCAGCCGCACATACACGTACACACCCATGCTCGTCGTCATATGAGCGAAATATTCTCGAGTATGACGTTAAACCCAAATTCACCTCACCTCACTTATACGGTACGTGTTAAATGAAGGCTTTCTGAACATCCTACACAAATTGTCACTGTCATCAAGTTTATGAATGGGTAAAACAGAAAACTTGACAGACAATTATCACAGCTAATGGCATTTATCACAATTACAATGAATGTTCAACTGTATGACTCATCACTGTTCCTGAAAGCAGACAAGATGGCATACATGCCTCATGAATAGACAAGAATGGCCACCTACTCTGCTTTGGCTCTCAGTAGGGTATCAAGCAAGGGTACCATGGAGAAACATTCAAGGGGTAACATGGGTACCACTGTGAAGCAAGCAATGCATACCTTTTGGAAAAAGCAAGGTGTACCATAGGGAAACAAGCAAGGGGAATTAAGCAAGGGGTACTATGGGGAAACAAGCAGGGGTACTATATGGAAATATACAGGTGTACAGGGGGAAACAAGGGGTACTAAGGATGGGGGGGGGGAGAGAGAGAGAGAGAGAGAGAGAGCAATAGGTACCATTTAGAAACAAGTAATGGTATAGCAACTATGGAACACTGGCACAACAATGGCTACCATGAAGATATTCCAGCAGTCTCATACCGGGTAAGAGCTGATCATGCCAGTGATCAATGGTGAATGTGGCCATACCCTCCTGCAGTAACCCTCTGTGTGGATATTATACAATTAGCCTGGGAAGAATGTCTCCTGTTTCTCACTTATTTTTTGTGCAGCATCAGTGACATACTGTGAATTTTTTCCCATTTCAATATTGTATAAAAAATGAATACGTTTTTTGGTCATTTTTGCTTTTCACAAGTCTGAAGACACAACTGTTTTTTATAATGGCGAATAAAACTGTTTCTAATATCTTGGGATTTTGCAAAGAAATTAACATTATTTAACTATAAAGTGCCAAATAGTTTTTTTTGTAGCACACAAAGAGGCATTGTTTATAAAAAAGAACACAATGCAATGTCTATTCCACTCACGTCTGCTTCAGAATGAACTTTTATTCATTGTTCACAAATATAAATGGATTCCCACATCAACAAATGCAAAAATTCTGGTGAACATTTAAACTGAAGCAATTATCCGTGAACACATCACACCATTGGTGGATCCTAGGAGATATCGTTTTGACAGTAGATTTTGCACAATGCCCTGAGAATGCTATGACGTCATGAACTTGTTGACGTCACAATGTTATGACATCGCTGCACTGCAAATCTAATGGCAGTACTGTGTTCAGAGATGTACATTTTTCATTGAAAACTAATGAAGAGTGATTTTTGATGATAAATAGAATCTCACCCTCGTGTCTTCTGATATCAAATATATCAACACTCGTTGATAAAAGTAAAAATATCCTCGGCAAGCCTTGGATATTTGTTACTTTATCAACTCATGGTGATATATTTGATATCAAGACACTCGGGTGAGATTCTCTCTATATTTTTTTAGAAAAAAAACACATCAAATATTGTCTGTTTGGTTGGTTTGTCTTTTTTAAACTATTATTTCAAATTACAAATATTATTATACCATATAGATGGAAAACATATTTGTTGAATATATTCTAGACAATAGTTTTAAAAAAGAATTTTGTGATTTTGACAATTGGAACATGAAGGGACAAATAGTGTGTGAGTGAGGTTTTACGCCACTATCAGCAATATTACAGCAATATCGCAGCAATATCACAGCAATATCACAGCAATATCATGGCAGGGGGCACCAGAAATCGGCTTCACACAATTAAACAATGTGGCGAATCCAACTTCGATCATCAGCATAATGAGTGTATGCTTCAACCACTTAGCTACCCCACCAAAATAAAATCCAACTGGGATCTGAACACCAGCACACAATGATATGAGATTTCAATATATAGGTCCTTCGGTCCTGTGGAATGGGAAGCGTTCGTTTATCACTCCAAAGAGGTGACATGTAGGTATCGTGTGAAGAGTCCATTAATGGCATCTTTGTGGTGTAAACCCAACGCACTCCATGAATCTTCCCCACTCACAGACACAAGCAGTCAACAGTGCAGAGCGTGATTACAAGGACTACTAGTGGAATCTATACTCAGTGTACTATTAAAACCTGTCTCCACTACATGTCACAGACAGGAATGGGTGTCAGAAGTGACCAATCAGGAGCTGCTCAACTCCCTCCTGTCCCCAACAGGGGATGATCATGTGTCAGAACTGAGATCCAGGTCCCAAAGATCAGCCATCTCTACTGGGACTGGTGCAAGCAGGTCCAACAAATATCACATGGCTACGACTAGCTGTCTTGTACTGCAGAAACTCATGGTTGGGCCGGACGTACCTGGGATTTACAGGTCGCGAATTCCTGGGTCCTATATGCATAAAAATTAACAATGGATGCAACAAAAGTTATGAAAAAGTCCAAGTAAAAATTTCAATCAAGTGACAATAAGTTATCGCTGAGTTTGCTACTAGCTGGGTTAAGGTATTATTTGCAGTTTAATTACTGTAACAATGTGATGATCATGATACACAATACAATAACAGTATTAATAATAATATTTAAGTGTCGGGGACCCCCATTTTGTTGTCCAGGACCCTTGAAAACCCCTGTCTACTAAACACAGGGTAAAGGTAATTAATTTAGGTACCAGGTTTAAAGGTCCTGTGAAGTAATAAAATGGTGTAGTGAACTGTGCTGTAAGGTTTGATAACTACTTTACTTAGAAAAACATATTTTATTGTCAGGAATTTGGTAAATAAATACTATTGTGACACACAGAAGCAATATTTTCTATTTACCCAGGCTATACATTGTGCACATTTCTGCATCATACAAAACCATGCAAACTCAGGAAAATTAAGTGTCCTCCCTGTGCTTTAGTCTTATCATAAATAATGTATATATGAAAGATCATATAGCAGACTTCATCACTCGTGTTTTTACCCCGACTCCTGGAGCTGAGATATTAATGATCTGGTGTGAGAGAGATCCCTCACTAGTACCCCGTAGAGAGTTAACTCATTTCAACAAAGGCTTTTTCCCATCTCATGCTGCACTTTATTATGAATAATTGATCATTTTTAAATCTATCTTTTTCTTTGCTATTCTTCAATTCTACAGGAGAAAGAAAGTTCTGAATCTTCTCCTCGTTACTCTGTAGCTTTCGGGGTGTCTCTTCAGTCAGCGTAAACTCACCCCATAGGGCATCCTGGCTAGAACAGGTCCCCAGCTACCTAAGTTTGTTGCTAGAGGAGACTCATCTGTGACTCATGGACTTGGTTGACTGCATGTCGTATTTTACCTGTGTGGGACATTGTCTATAATAGCCATTACTGCCTTGTCTCATTGATTATTTGTAATGAAATACTGCTTAATGGTTATGAGTAACAAAGGTCATGGTGACAAATGTTCAGATGACCAATTTGTGATGTCAGGAACAAGGAATGCATTGTATCATATCCGTGAGTGAGTGAGTGGGTAGGTGAGTGAGTGAGTGGGTGAGTGTGAGTGGGTGAGTGAGTGAGTGAGTGAGTGGGTAGGAGTGGGTAGGTGGTGGTAAGAGTGAGTGAGGAGTGAGTGAGTGAGTAAGTGAGAGTGAATAGGTAGGTGAATGAATGAGTGGGTGGGTGACTGAGTGAGTGAGTGAGTGAAGGGTAGGTGAGTGAATGAGTGAGTGGTGGGTGAGTGAGTGAGTGGGTAGTTGAGTGAATGAATGAGTGAGTGGTAGTTAGGTGAGTGAGTGAGTGAAGATGTTTTAAGCATAAAACTGATTGATTAGTGCCTGTGTATGACACTGACATTTGTCCATCTTCAGCATACTTGCTAAATCATACCACAGTCTAGTTCAGGTCCTATGGTTTCAAATAATCGAGGATACAGCCTGATACCAAATATAATGGTATTTGTTGTTGCCCTGCCTTGTGCAAGGCTATAAGAAAATAATGGGAGTCAGTACAATGTTTCAGAGTAGGGTATCCCAGTTGATGTTGAGACATAGTTTTCTTTGTTTGTTGTTTGTTGCACTCAGCAATATTCCTGCTACATGATGGGGGTCTGTAAATAATCGAGTCTGGACCAGACAATCCAGTGACTGACTGAGACATAGTATCTCAGAAGTCAAAAGTGCTTACAAGCTGGTAAAATCTACCATGTGAGTTGTAACATGAATGAAACAATCTTGAATGCAGCATTAAAACCCATTTCACTACACCACCTCAAATACTGAAGAACTTCCTACATTTTTGACATGAAGCATTATGAATTGCAGCTTGCATCAACCATTTTGAAAAACATCAGCCCATGAAAGAATGAAAGGATTAGTCTAACAGTGAGCTGTCTTGACGTCTGTCCATCTGAGAATTTAAGGAAAACCACCTAAGTAAACTGTCATTAATTCTCACTAACTGTCACACACTTTAACTCCTGGGACAAGCTATACAAGTGACCCCCCAGACCCAAACAAGTCTGTCAGTAATCACCTTCTTCATAACAACCTCTCACCAGGAAGCCCACTGGGGATACTAGCGTCTGTACAACATAGTGTTACTAGTGTCACAAACCCTGAAACAGACTGGCCAAAAATCTGTCATGAGATTTAGACAGCTCCACGGGCACAAATCTCCACCATATTCTCAAGATGCATTACCTGCTCAACAACTGAGCTTCATCTTGTTGTTTTTCCCAAGCAAACACTCCCTGAAGCTTGTGCTAGGCTCGAGTACTTCTGCATGGTTTTATTCCAGTCTTTCAAAGCCTACTTTGTCTGTCTGCTTTCTCAAATTTCATACAGTATATTGGTCCAGAAGTTAATGAGAAGACTTATAACACGGAGACAATGGCAGTTTCTTTTAAGGAGTTAATTACTAGGGCTAGCCCTGGACTGAAAACCCTGTCACCCAGTCAGTGGCACAATTCCTCTTTAAGAGAATCATAGGAATCATTACAAATGTAGGTTTATTAGTTTGTTTGCTAAACAATATTCGGGCTATGTGACTTTGTATATAATCAAGTCTATGAGACAATTTGGATGTTTACATCAGAAAATTCAATCCACAATGACACCCAATCCTTATATAGCAACCTCATATGAGTAGCAGAGGTTCTTACCCTAAAATGGTGAGGTGAAATTGGGTTTAACGTCGTGCTTGAGAATATTTCGCTCATATGACGACGTGCATACGTGTGTATGTGTATGTGCGGCTGCTTGTACTAGCACAGACTAGAGTTTGTTTTATAGTGCTAGCCCACTGAGATACCATGCCGCAGTGAAGCATGAATACCCCACTCAGACACATTATACTGACTCCGAGCCGACCAGTCCTTGTTGTACCTATTAATGCCAAGCGCCAGGCAGGGACCAACAAGTACCATATTTTAACGTCTTTTGGTATGATGCGGTCGGGGATCGAACACGCGACCTTCCGCTCTCCAGGCGGACGCTCTAACCACTACACCATGGACACAATGTTGGAAAACTGCTGAGTTCGTCATAAACAACAAAACAGAATGTGCAAATAACAAAGAAGTGGCTGATATCATGAGCAACATCCCAAGTTTCACGAGACATGCAAATATACGTCCAGTGTGCACAAATGTAGAGAATGGACACAGAAAAACATTCACTGCGGGCAGTGGGGAAAATAATGTAGTTCAGGGACTAGATACACCAAGAAACATAATCAGGATACACTTGCACAAAGCAATCTTAGCGCTACAATGACATTAGCTTATGTTTAAGCATGGGAGTTCAGATCATTAAGATGGAAATGGACCGACATTAATGATCAGTTGAAATACACTGTAACTTCAACCATTAACTCACCTGAGCAAACTTGTCAGTATCACAGATACCATGCCGCAGTGAAGCATGAATACCCCATTCAGACACATTATACTGACTCCGAGCCTGGTCCAAGCGCCAGGCAGGGACCAACAAGTACCATATTTTAACGTCTTTTGGTATGACGCGGTCGGAGATCGAACCTGCGACCTTCCGCTCTAACCATTACACCACGGAGGCGGTCTACCCTAAAATGGGACAGTGGGGAAGCCTTAGTGATTAAAGAGTTGAGTCGTCACCTGAAGACCCAGGTTCGATTCCACAAATGGGTACAATGGTTTTCTTCACTGTGATATTGCGGGAATATTGCTAAAAGTAGCATAAAACTCACTGACACTCTTACCAAGAATCCTCACAATGGTTCCACCAGGTCATTCAAAGGAGAGTGTATGTGAGGATGTACTACAATCAAACAATACTGGATTACATTCATAATATGGAGGTCGGTGGCTCAGTCATCTAGGCTTCTTCAGAGAAAGGTTCCGTAGAGATCCAGAATCTGCAGCGTATGAGTTTGAATCTCAGATCTAACAATTCTTGGTTTATAGGCACCCATGCTAGTGGGTTTCATCAAAGTATCTAACATGTTGAGACTGGTATGCTTTCAGGCTCTCTTCACATAACCAGCTGAAACACCATGACATGACTCCAATTATTACACACCCTTGGGTGAGATAATGTCAAACATATGTGTGAGATTGATTTCCATGAACATGATTGGCTACTCCATGGTGATGACCTTAGGTCAGATTATGATGGACTTCTTATTTGATTGAAATTAATTGATAAGTAACTTGAGCTTCAATTGAGATGCAGACCTTTATACCAAACAGCTTTATACCTGCCTGTTATTTTCGCAATTGTAGTGAAACAGGTTAACAGACTTAGCATAGATAACAACATAAATCTTTTTTTTCTATAATTCCTTTTATCGTGTGATACTTCTTAATATTCTGGCCATGATTTCAATATGGCTTGAGCAATGAGTGATACCTGTTTAAACAATTATGTGAACTTCATCATTAAAGACAAAGAGCATGGTTGCCTTTGAACATACAAGATATACAACACTGGTACTTTTACTGGAGAAATGTTACAAGTTTCACACATTGTCATGTAAAAATACCTGAGATGGTAACGTCAGTGCCAATCGAGGTCGATTTGCCTAGTGGTTTCATGAAGGGGATGCCTTTTTTCACTGTTAAACATGATTCTTTAGATAGGGATCCATTTTTAGTCCTGAGCTACAGTGTAATTATTCATAATTAACAACTCGCTCATAACAATCAGACCTCAAACATGTGAAACAATGTTCAATGCTAAATGTTTGTAGGGGTTCATGAGTGCAAATGGCGACACATTAACTCCCATCTTCTACAGGTACAGTACACAATGTCAATACTTAAATATTCTCTCAATAAATGATATGCAAATTTCATGTCGTCAGAACATGCAGGGTGTAATCAACTAGTCACGTTTCTTCCTCACAACACTGCAACATCAGTAACATCGCAGAAGTACCAGAAGGCTGCGCGAAGAAGAGTCCCCCCCCTCTCTCGATAGTGAACGTTACCTCACCAATATACACTTAATAACATACACTAATCCATACTTTTGGCCGGTCTGTTCAATGCAGCTGTGCAAAGAATATCCAGACAGCCATCCGATGATGACAACTATTTTCAATCTCAATGAGCGACACCAGCAAATGTCCCAAGCAATTACAATGATGTCGCACATGCGTAGTAATCTCCATTTGTCATACAATGAATGTTGTTGATATCCAACAAATATGAAATGAAGTCAATATGCATGAACTACTTACAATCTTCAAAACGAATAAGTACTGAATAGTAATGATAGTAGATCTTTGCAAAATGCCGAGAGTATGCAGCCCTGAAGTTGGTACCCATCACAAACACATGCACAGGCATGTCAATTATTTACCTGGAAACCATGGGAACACATGGTCCAGGTCAAAAGTAGGTCTAAGGACTCATACTGGACATCAATTTTGTCACTGATACATGACATTTGGACATGTCCTCCACATGTCTACCATTAAAAGCATTGAAAGCTTTGCTGAGGCCTTGTACTTGGCATGCTTGATCAAGTTACTCTTGAGGAAGGGACTTGTGATGGTTAAAAGAATGCCAGAAAAAGACATCCGTTGATCAAGGGAACACTCAAGCGCCTTGAGCATGTACTACTTGCGTGGATATGTGCGCTATATAAATATCCTATCATCCTCCTCCTCCTCCTCCTCATCATCATCATCTCCATATGATGTAGCTTGGACTCATGAAGATTCAGGTTATGATTTATCTTCAGCAACCCATGCTTGTCATAAAAAGGCAAGTAATGCTGGTTGATGCATGGTATCATATCCCAATTTCACAGTCAACCACTGGATTGTGAACCCATAAGCATGTTTACGGAACCAACAAACCAATACACATTCTAAGGCTGAACCAGGATTGAAACCCATGATTTCCTGTTCCTGAACACCTAAGGCACCATATGGCAACAGGAATTCCAGTACTGAAGAAGGCTAGATCACATGATACATGTTATTGTATCCCAATTGATGCTCAAGATGTCAGTCACTGGATTGTCTGGTCCTCACTCAATCATTTACACACAGTGGAGCATTAAACAGCAAACAAACTAAAGATGTGATTCGGATGCAAACAGGATAAGACAGAAAACACTTTAGAGGTGATTTATGACACACAAAAAAACAAGATGACATATGCTGGATATTTCAGTAAAATGGTAAACTGAAGTAAAATGATTCGCTCAGTCAACTCTCTGAGGGGAAAACAAATTATTACTGACAAACTCTGTTCAGTATTCTAGAAATATCTTCCCCTTTCGAGAAAGGGGGTTGAAATCGGTCACAAAAACAGGCATTATAAGCCATCTCCGGCTGAAAGACCAAATGGATTTATGTAATGCTGGTGGAGATGTGTATTCAGCTCCTTGTGCCCCTTGCTGTAATCAAAGCAGACAAGTACATCCCTCTGTAATCTCCCCAACCACTGTATTAAACCCAGCCATCATACCAAATCAATCACAACAGTCTTACAAGTTTTTGAAAAATCCCTTCCATGTAAACAGGGATGACAAATATTTATGAACCTAATCTCCAGAATCAGTAGAGAATGCAGAAATAGCACTAAGCTACTGTAGCTCACCCTTCACAAAATGAGGCAAATTTGTCTAGACATTATTCTATAAATGTTTTCATGATTTTATTCATTGACAGGATTATACATACTGATCCAGTGGAGTGAAATAAATGTGATTTTGGAAGCATATTCTTATTAAATTTAACTAACTGGCTATATTCCAAAATATGTGAGATGCATATATAGACAGAAACACAAGTTCTGGTGTCCCCGCTCCGTGATATTGCCTGGAATATAGATAAAAGCGGAGTAAAACCCAACCCACTCAGTGTGTTGATCAGTGTATAACCACAATAACTCACTGTCTGTGATCTACAATACATGACTAGTACAACATCATAATTACCTCCTGTCTCTTATCCACAGCTTATGGATGAGTGATTGAGTTTACGCCACACTCAATATTCCAGCTACATGGCAGCGGTCTGTAAGTAATCGGTCTGGACCAGACAATCCAGTGATCGACAGCATGAGCATCGATCCACGCCAAATGGGATACAATGACATGTGTCGACCACTTCAGCGAAGTCTGACCACCCGATTCCGTTAGTTGTCTCTTATGACAAGCATGGGTTACTGAAGATAAATTTTAACCGAACCTTTATGGGTCATAGCTTATGAACAGGTTCTGGTTCCACAAAGCAACCTTACAACTACAAGTCGAAGTAAGGGAGTCATGATCACCTTGTTGTTTTGGAAAATGGGTCAAGGTTTGGAAGCACGATTATTTCCTGTTTGGCACCAACAGCTGAGATCATGACAAAATAATCTCAAAACATACAGACAAAATGTGTTTATCAGCAATTAAGGTTCATTTTCACTCACCTACTCATCCAACACAAAACGTCACCTTGTACATTAATTATATTTAATCACCAAAACGAACTGTGCCTGCAAGGAAGCCAGGATGATGAGGCCATGAGCTTCCCGTGATTACCCTCGCCATTATAACAAACCTTCCTAGCAGGCAGTTGGTTGACAAATTGATAAAATCATTATGCTTAATGAGCTTCAGGGAAGATACGTTAAATATTAACTTCTCAAAATAGCTTGTTTACGATGTCAATGAGAAATGGCTTTAAAAACTATGGACATTAAATAGTTAATTACTTGTCAAATTAGCTCATAAAATAGCAAATGGGTTTTGGTGTGAAGGAACTCTTTCCATGCTTTTGGCAACAGTGGCATAATTTGCATTTGCACAACTCAAGTACATCATGATGAAGTATGATTACGAAACTCCATCCACAATGGTGAGCTTGGTTTATAGCCATTCTGAAAAGTATTTCATTTACTTCATGGCTTGTCAGCTTGACGTTGGATGCAGGTCTTTACATGCACGAAGGGATGCAGGTCTTTACATGCACGAAGGGATGCAGGTCTTTACATGCACGAAGGGATGCAGGTCTTTACATGCACGAAGGGATGCAGGTCTTTACATGCACGAAGGGATGCAGGTCTTTACATGCAGGTCTTTACATGCACGAAGGGATGCAGGCCTCTACATGCAAAGGGATGCAGGTCTTTACATGCACGAAGGGATGCAGGTCTTTACATGCACGGCGGGATGTCCTCTACATGCACGAAGGGATGCAGGTCTTTACATGCACGAAGGGATGCAGGTCTTTATGCATGAAGGGATGCAGGTCTTACATGCACGAAGGGATGCAGGTCTTACATGCACGAAGGGATGCAGGTCTTTACGCACAAAGGGATGCAGGTCTTTACATGCACGGCGATGGGATGCAGGTCTCTTTACATGCACAGAAGGGATGCAGGTCCTTACATGCACAAAGGATGCAGGTCTTTACATGCACGAAGGGATGCAGGTCTTTACATGCACGAAGGGATGCAGGTCTCTTACATGCACGAAGGGATGCAGGTCCTTACATGCACGAAGGGATGCAGGTCTTTACATGCACGAAGGGATGCAGGTCTTTACATGCAAGAAGGGATGCAGGTCTTTACATGCACGAAGGGATGCAGGTCTTTACATCTATTGGTGAATAAAAATAATGATAATAATAAGGAAGCTTACATGCTGGTGAACTCCACACGGCACAGGGCATGCTCGAAGCTTACACTCCACACGGCACAGGGCATGCTCGAAGCTTACACTCCACACGGCACAGGGCATGCTCGAAGCTTACACTCCACACGGCACAGGGCATGCTCGGCTTACACCCACACGCACAGGGCATGCTCGGCTTACACTCCATTACGGCACAGTGCATGCTCAAGCTTAACACCCACACGGCACAGGGCATGCTCGAAGCTTACACTCCACACGGCACAGGGCATGCTCGAAGCTTAACACTCCACACGGCACAGGGCATGCTCGAAGCTTAACACTCCACACGGCACAGGGCATGCTCGAAGCTTACACAGTAAAAATGGATGGACAATTGTCCATGCTTATTGAACACATGGGTCTATAGGCCAGATTTAAAGGTAGTCAATTAAGGGGCTCAATTGAGGTGATGTGGAAGAGTTCCATAGCACAGCAGCATGTTTGAAGGATCTGGCCCCAAATGGCACCAAATGTCTTCAACGTGTAGTGAGGCACAGGAGGCTGGAATAACCCCATGAGTGGTGCATATATCGTGTGCCAACAAACATTATCAGGCAAAACCAAAACTAATGATTTCAAGGTTCTTGAATGTGGATGTGGCAATAAGAACTGCAGAGCTTTAGAAGACTAGGTTACCTGTGTTTCTTTTGGCAAACCTGATCTTAACATTTTTCTGCCATGAAATAGGTTTAGTAGGCAGCTGTTCAAAGTAATCACCAGCATGCTAATTAACTCACTGCAGTGAGAAAATTATGTACATAATATCCTGTAAAAAAAATCATTCTGCCAAACCTTTTCGTTGTTAATATGCAGCATGTTGTTCCATTGCCGATGAACAATTATCTGATGAAGTGATACCACAAAAGCAAACTGGCATGGCAATATTTCGATGAGTGAAATGAATGACACTTAACCCATATCGTCTCACCCTGTTCATCTCAAATTATCAAGAACCATCTTCATTGAGTGGCAATTGACGATATGTTTTCATCATCCTTTTTTAATCTCAAGGAAACATGTTCTAGAATACAGAAATCACATGACCATGCCTAAACCCTATCACAAAGAAGACAGTCAACTTAGACAGTTATCACATGTTTGGCTATGACGTTTTGATCCTAAAAGCAGGGTGAGAGACTTAAGGCTCTTGGAGTGGAGGGACATATTTTTTTCGGCTAAGATGCCCAAATCTCCATACATTAACACAGTGTCAGTTGTAGTGCTGAGGGCTTAGTGAATGGATCCAAGATGTGCAAGAGTCAGACCTCTCTTTGTCAGTGATGGATCAGTACGGAAAGATCATAAACAATTGTTTAAAAACAGCATTGTATGTTGGCATATGACATCTAAATGCACATATTGAATACATTGTTGCGCACAAAATGTACATCTGAACGCAAAAACTTAAATATATCTATGCATGATAATGGTAACATTCATTTATCACAAATCCATTTCAGCAAAATGTTTATTTTATGCCCTAATGAGAAAGAATTTTATCGATAATTATGTTGCTTTGTTTGTAACTGAAGAAACACTCATGACAGTGCCATCCATAGATAATGAAACAGGAGACAGTGTCATCTGTGCATGATGAAACAAGAGAGACAGTGTCATATGTGCATGATGAAACAAGAGACAGTGTCATCTGTAAATGATGAAACAGGAGACAGTGTCATCTGTGCATGATGAAACAAGAGACAGTGTCATCTGTAAATGATGAAACAGGAGACAGTGTCATCTGTGCATGATGAAACAAGAGACAGTGTCTGTAAATGATGAAACAAGAGACAGTGTCATCTGTGCATGATGAAACAAGAGACAGTGTCATCTGTGCATGATGAAACAAGAGACAGTGTCATCTGTGCATGATGAAACATCTGTGCATGATGAAACAAGAACATGATGATGAAACAAGAGACAGTGTCATCTGTGCATGATGAAACAAGAGACAGTGTCATCTGTGCATGATGAAACAAGAGACAGTGTCATCTGTAAATGATGAAACAAGAGACAGTGTCATCTGTGCATGATGAAACAAGAGACAGTGTCATCTGTAAATGATGAAACAAGAGACAGTGTCATCTGTACATGATGAAACAAGAGACAGTGTCATCTGTGCATGATGAAACAGGAGACAGTGTCATCTGTGCATGATGAAACAGGAGACAGTGTCATCTGTACATGATGAAACAGGAGACAGTGTCATCTGTGCATGATGAAACAAGAGACAGTGTCATCTGTGCATGATGAAACAGGAGACAGTGTCATCTGTGCATGATGAAACAGGAGACAGTGTCATCTGTGCATGATGAAACAAGAGACAGTGTCATCTGTGCATGATGAAACAGGAGACAGTGTCACATGATACAAGAGACAGTGTCATCTGTGCATGATGAAACAGGAGACAGTGGTCAATCTGTACATGATGAAACAGGAGACAGGGTCATCTGTACATGATAAAACGAGACAGTGGAAGATTCTCCCAACACTATTCCTGCTTGATTCGCAGTGTCTTTAAACACCATTTTTTTGGAACCAGTTGTCTGCATGTTTTCGACAACATCCGCCTTGAACCAGAGTGAGCTGGCTTTGAATAGTCCTTCAACTGCATGTAACAGTTCTTCATAGACTTAAAAGAAAATAATTGCGATTTTGTTTTGGACTAACATCTACTCTGATCAGTTTACCAGTTATATATAACTTATATCCTCTAATTACCACAGAATCTGCTCATTCCCTTGTCCGTGCTTTAATTCTCAGCAGACTAGATTATTGTAACAGTCTCTATATTGGCCTCCCTGACACTCTACTTGACAGACTACAAAAAGACCAAAATACAGCCGCCCGCATCGTCAGCCGTACTTCCAAACACAGTAACATTACCCCAGTTCTAAAGCAGCTCCACTGGTTACCTGTGAGAGCCAGGATTCAATTCAAGACACTCTGCCTCACATACTAGTCCCTTCACGGCCAGGCTCCACCCTACATTGGAGATCTGATCAACCCCTACAGTCCATCGCGCGAACTTCGCTCACAGCAGCAAAACCTTCTGACAGTTCCGAACTACAAACTTAAAACCTTTGGATACAGAACTTTCTCCTACACTTCCCCTGTCTTGTGGAACTCTATCCCATTTGACCTCAAACACTCTGAATCTCTGGACTCTTTTAAATCAAATCTCAAAACCTACCTCTTTGCTAAATATTATCCTCAATAGCCTTTATTGTTTATGTGTTATGCACCTATTCATTGTAGTTTTCTTGCTTTGTATTTATAATGTATTTATTTTAAGGTACTTATGTAGCGCCAAGAGCATGCTTCTGAGCGTGGATATGTGCGCGTTATAAATATGCACTACTATTATTATTATTATATCCATGGAACTTGTCTTCCTGAACTGGTTGGCACAGCTACAGTTTGAAAGCTATCAACACAGAGATGTAAAATCACTCTTAGGACCATCAACAAGTCTATTATCATGAACCTTACATAAAATGACAAACTGTACTACCTTGTCATTTTATGTAAACTTTAACAGTAAAACCTGGACCAATGATAGACCCAAGTAATAAATGGGGCTGTTTCTAATGACCCTATTTTCAGCCATGCAATTTTTCAACTTCACAATAAGCAGGAATTTTTTTTGTACAATCATTAAACAAAATTAACAATGAGATGGACCAGATTGTGTCACATGATCAGTAAGAAATATGGTGATCTTACAGTGAACATCAAAGTCCTATGTTACTGAATTTTTTTGCTGTATTCAACACATGTGTCATGAAAGAATATTTCATGAAGTGCTTTTTTTACTTGGTTGACAAGTGTGAGATGCAGCTAAATTATAAGAACATGAAGTTTTTTATTCCCATGCAGAGTCTGAGAAAAAACTCTGGAGAAAACCTCAATGGCAAGGCAGGAGGAGTCATTCTGTGACTTGACTTAAAAAGTGTAAACTAGGAAGTAAGTTCCTTTCTTTCTTTCTTGGCGTTCACTTCACCTTACTGTTCTCATGCTGATGTGTTAAAAAAAGTTCTCCAATTAGACCAGTTTTTCACAAACCAGGGAACTATACAGAAGAAAATTGCTGAAAATGTGAGATCTGTTCCATTTTCACATCCAGCAATAACTACGCGCACCATATTGATTGTAAAAACAATGATTTTGATGTCATCAGAACACTAGTTCAAGACATAGTGAAGAGAAAGCTCCACTCCTCCACATGAAAACAATATGGAGCAGTCTTGTCGATCCAAATGAATTGAAACAGCTCTTCCCATTCAGTATCTGATTGTGTGCATGTGTGTGTGTGTGCGCATGTGTCCATGTGTGTATTGTAAACATGCCACACTAAGCAACATATTCATAATGGCCTGTACATATTCCAGTCAGGACCAGACAATCAGGTGACTGATATGAGGAACGATCCACATTTTTGGGGTACAGACCACCTGATCCATCAATTCGTCTTTTAAGACTTCACCAAATAGCCAACCATTTCAATACCAGAATCACCTCACTATTACAATTAGCAATGTGATGCTGAAGACAAATCCCGAATCCCCATTGGGATTTCGGTTGGTGCATGTGAGATCATGTGACTGCTGTCACTAGTAACATCAACTGTGGTGTGTCTGTTGCTGTGAAACTCAGGGGTGGAAATAACTTTAAAATTGCTAGTGTACTCCGGTACAGTGGCACATGTAAAATCACTTGCCCTGATAATTTTTCAACTATACCGTCCGTGTTCTTGTTGATTTTTTAAAATAAACAACATAATTAACATTGGAAAGTCAACTGGACACTGGTACAGTGTGATATACAAATTTGCTTGCCCGACAGAAAAAAACACTGGACTCGGACATCGGGCAATGGGTTATTTCCACCCCTGGAAACTGTGAAGTGACCAGTCTTGGTAGCAGACCAACGTCTATTCTGGAGTCTCCACTGGGTTAACACTAGCATGGCACATTCTACCCCAGGTCACTCTGGGCTGTATCTACATACATGTAATGATATTCAAGAGAGATGATATGACCGTCCTTCACTGCAGCTGTAACCTGTGAAGAAGCTCACCCTTCTTGTACAAGGTCACAAACAACTAAAACATCAACAACCACAGTGGAACTCTGTCAGTCCGGGAACCAGACATCACTGTCATACAAAGAACACTGCTTTGTAATCAGGATTCACAAACAAAAATGTCCTTAATTGGCAATTTAACTAGGAAAGGTATTAACAGAGTTTCACTCAGGTTTGTCGACAAGACTAATCTAATAATGCTACATGCAAGAAACAGGTACTCACATTCATCTCTGAACTTCGGCTCTGTGTTTGGTCCGACATGCGCCATTGTGCGGATCAACTCCACGTGGACGACGTGCTGTTCTCGGTACACGGGGTCGTCGAAGAATGTCTGTATTTGCATGTACACCCGGTCCAACACCTGCATGAAAATTTGTCCATGATGTATGCGTACAGATAGAGGTCATGGTTTGTTGTGTTCATGTATTTTAACTCATGTTTTATAAACATAATTATTAATGAAACTACAAACAAGAAGCTTTCAGCTTATTACGTCTCTTGGAGATGTTTTCATGTCATGTGGAAAACAGCATCATATGACTGTTATGTTTCAAGATTGCTACCTCCTCAAGTCAAAACCTGTGTTTGATTTCCCACATGGGTACAATATATGAAGCCCATTTTCGGTGTCCCCTGTCGCAATATTACGGGAATATTGCTAAATGCAGCGTAAAACCCAACTCACTCACTTGATAGTGTACAGGATATTACGACTTCTATGTTCCTTTCTGTGGTTTACCTCTTTCACACACTGTCTAGTGCTAAAAGCGGCATAAAACCAAACTCACTCACTCACTCACATTTATCAGTTTGGAAGTCCAGACAGAGATTAGTAGTCAAGTATGTTTGTGTTCCCAAAACCATACATTAGCCTATGGCAGTGCTTCCAATACTGTTGCAGTAGAGATGTGTAAACTATATTAGAATGTGACATTAAGCCCCAATACACATGACCACTTACAACCACTATCAGTCCCAGGATACCAGTCTCACCTGGAGCCCCCACAGGGAGCTGATCCACAAACAACAAACTGACAAGTGTGAGGATAACAGGTCTGAGATAATCAAGGACATTCTTACCTCTCGTATTGACACATGTTCTATGATGGCGCCAAGGGAAGGAATGGTGGATATTCTAACTGAGCTGTGAACACACAAAAACAACTTCCATTACGTCTTGTGATCTCTAACGTCTTGAGGTCATCTTTTTAGGAATTTAATAATGTAATAATAATGATATACAAAATTTGTATAGCACCCTATATGATTTAGAAAATAAAACTCTCTAAGGATCTAAAAAGCTACAGAATAAAGCATTGTTTGATTGCTATTATTTAACACCACTTCAGCAATATTCCAGCCAGATGATGTAGATAAACAAGACTTGACAAACCAGTGATTGATATCATGAGCAATGTCCCAAGCACTCGGGGTATGGTGCTATGCAATCAACCAAGTCCTTGAGCCTGACCATATAACCAATTAAAGTTCATAATGACAAGTAAATACTAGACATTAAAAACCTCCATGATAAAAATACAAATCAACTTGTTTGGTCTAATTTCCTAAATGAATGACTTGGTGTTCCAGTAATATCACAGCCTGTCACCTTATGGTGTGAAGAAAGCCCAAACTGATGCATGTCTCAGAGGCTTACCGTTCTGGAGAAACCCACAAGCATGTACTGGGGTGGAAATACCTTTAAAATTGCTAGTGTACTCTGGTACAGTGGCACATGTAAAATCACTTGCCCTGATAAGTTTTCCACTATACCGTCCGTGTTCTTGTTGATTTTTTAAATAAACAACATTATTAACACTGGAAAGTCAACTGGACACTGGTACAGCGTGATATACAAATTTGCTTGCCCGACGGAAAAACACTGGACTCAGACGTCGGGCAATGGGTTATTTCCACCCCTGATGTATATGGTGCCGACAATCACAGTCGGGGAAAACCAGGATTCTAACCAATAATCATAACCCAAAGGGCAGTATTAATGTGTGAGCAAGTTGGGATTAACATTATTCCATGTGGCAAACCAGCAACGATGCATATGCTAGACACCCATGAAGATCCGGGTTAGAATTGATCTTCAGTAACCCATGCTTGTCGTAAGAGGTGACTAACGGGATTGTCTGGTCCATACTTAATCATTAACAGACTGCCACCATATAGCTGAAATATTGCGGAGTGCTTCGTGAAAATAAACTCACTCACTCGCATATGCTAGATATTTATGGGTCCTACCTCATGTAAGAATGTCCATCTCTGATTGGTTCATGTGACCCAGAACAAATTACCATGTACACGTCCATACACCACCCAATCGGGGTATAAATCTTTGTGAGGGAGAATAAATAATTTATACCCTGCCCCATGGAAAAAGCATGCATCCACAGCAGTCAGTGAACCGTGAACCAGCGGTTTGGATCAACTAGTCGGTACCATGTTAGTAAAATATATGCTTGAATTTCAGTTTGTTTTAATGTTATATTTACGTAATGAGAGATTTAAACATTTGGTAAGATATATTTGTTGTTGCAACCTAAGACAGGAGGCATAAAACCCAGTATACCCCTTATCACAATGGTACAACTTATATTGTATTCAGTGACAAACTTTATTCTAAATCTCTGGATTTGTCTTATCTCTGCTACAGTTGTCTCCATTTCTACCTTCATGTACTGTTCTCTTTAAAACTATTTTTATTTCATCAGGGTGCTGTTGTATGACTGATCTTAGTGCTAAGGTGATCCTAACTCACATGCTACTACACAGATTTACTACAGTGTGTTGTGTAATGGCACTGGGTGCCTGTTGTGTGACTGATCTTAGTGCTAAGGTGATCATAACTCACATGCTACTACACAGACTTACTACAGTGTGTTGTGTAATGGCACTGGGTGCCTGTTGTATGACTGATCTTAGTGCTAAGGTGATCCTAACTCACATGCTACAACACAGACTTACTACAGTGTGTTGTGTAATGGCACTGGGTGCCTGTTGTATGACTGATCTTAGTGCTAAGGTGATCCTAACTCACATGCTACAACACAGACTTACACACGTCCATGTGACACGTCCATGTTGTATGATTTACCAAAGTGCTAAGGTGCTAACTAACATGCCAAACACACTTATGGCACTGGGTGCCTGTTGTGTGACTGATCTTAGTGCTAAGGTGATCCTAACTCACATGCTACAACACAGACTTACTACAGTTTGTTGTGTAATGGCACCTGTATGACTGACTGACTGACTGACTGAGTTTGGTTTTAGCCGCTTTTAGCAATATTCCAGCAATATCACCGGGGACAACTGGCTTCACTCATTGTACCCATGTGGGGATTGAACCCGGTGTTGTGACGAGCCAACGCTTTAACCACTAGATCTGTTGTATGACTGATCTTAGTGCTAAGGTGATCCTAACTCACATGCTACAACACAGACTTACTACAGTGTGTTGTGTAATGGCACTGGGTGCCTGTTGTACAGAAACCGCCTCCGTGGTGTAGTGGTTAGAGTGTCCGCCCGGAGAGCGGAAGGTCGCGGGTTCGATCCCCAACCGCGTCATACCAATAGACGATAAAATATGGTACTTGTTGGTCCCTGCCTGGTGCTCGGCATTAATGGGTACAACAAGGACTGGTCGGTTCGGAGTCAGTATAATGTGTCTGAGTGGGGTATTCATGCTTCACTGCGGCATGGTATCTCAGTGGGCTAGCACTATAAAACCAGCTTAAGTCTGGGCTAGTATAAGCAGCCGCACATACACATACACATACATGCACGCACGCACGTCGTCATATGAGCGAAATATTCTCAAGCACGACGTAAAACCCAATTTCACCTCACCTGTTGTACAGAATACTGGATATTTCTCTGCCATATTTAAATGAGGCTACTAATACAGGCGTTAATGACACGTCCATGTTTGTGGATTTACCAAAGTGGTAAGGCATTACTTCAGGCTTTCCTCCCACCTGAACCAGATATGTTGTGATAAAAATGAAGAATTGTTCAAATGGCTCTACCTAACTCATTCCAGTTCAGGAGCAACTTTTCATGAGCTCAGACTGAACACAGCAACTCCCTTTATTGTATAACTAGTCAGCCATTAATCACCTTCACGACCCAAGCTGCACCTGATTGACGCATACAATGTACGTCCGGTACGTAGTTGATCTTTACATACATTCACACATTTACATACCAATAAATGCCAAAACGTTTCAACCACTCAAGCAAACTGAGTGTTCAATTTGTACATATTTCCATCTATAACATACTGTGATAGATTCACAGTAAATATTTTGCCTGGTATCATTCATGTCACAGACACAGAACAGAGAACACATGGCCTACCCTGAGACCACCTTCAAATTGAATGAAGATCAAGTCTTACATTTCTGGATCATTGGCGAGAGTGACTAGAGTGGGCACAACCCGTGTGGAGATGAATGTATCATTTAGGTTCTGAATCAGGAGCTGAAACAGCAAGAATAACACATGTTATACACCCGGGAGCTGAAACAACAAGAATAACATACATATTATACACTCAGGAGCTGAAACAGCAAGAATAACACACATTATACATTGAGGAATTGAAACAACAAGAATAATACACATTATACACTCAGGAGCTGAAACAACAAGAATAACACACATTATACAAGGAATGAAACAACAAGAATAACACACATTATACACTCAGGAGCTGAAAAACAACAAGAATGAAACAAACACACATTATACACTCAGGAATTGAAACAACAAGAATAATACATTACATTATACACTTATACATTGAGGAATTGAAACAACAAGAATAATACACATTATACACTCAGGAGCTGAAACAACAAGAATAACACACATTATACACTCAGGAGCTGAAACAACAAGAATAACACACATTATACACTCAGGAGCTGAAACAACAAGAATAACACACATTATACACTGAGGAATTGAAACAACAAGACAAGCAACAAGAATAACACACATTATACACTCAGGAGCTGAAACAACAAGAATAACACACATTATACACTCAGCTGAAACAACAAGCTGAAACAACAAGAATAACACACATTATACACTCAGGAGCTGAAACAACAAGAATAACACACATTATACACTGAGGAGCTGAAACAACAAGAATAAAATTAACAAGAATAACATAACACACATTATACACTCAGGAGCTGAAACAACAAGAATAATACACATTATACACTCAGGAGCTGAAATAACAAGAATAATACACATTATACACCCAGGAAGTGAAACAGCAACAATAAAACATATTATACACACAGAAGCTGAAACAGGAGCAATAACACACTGTGACATTATATAATCTGGAGATATGAGTCCAGATATCCATTCACGTGCTGACGTAGTCTTTGTTTTAGATTTGTTTATGATGTTTCTGAAACCATGGTATATGGTCTCTGGTTCACAGGAAGTTGATAACAATCCACTGTATGACAAAGATAAATTATACCAGTTCACCACAAGACTGACCTGTATAGCAGGTATTATCAGAAAATAATCAATGGTTTCAGAGTTCTGCTCCAGAGAAAATGGAGTCTGACAAATGGACAATTGGACATGCTCATCACTATATCCCAGTTTTCTCAAACTAAAGCAGATAAAAATCCCACATTTTCAAATTCCTGTTGTTCATATGCTGACTTGATATTTGATGAGTTTTTACAACAATAGACATCAAAGGACTACCATTAGAACTACAAATGTAGTTAAGGCAATGCCAACAATTTTAAGCATCATAGAGTTTTCCCAGAGATTATTGAAAAAATCTGTTTCCTAATACTGATATTGGAATTTAAAATAGGTGTTACATTATGTAGTAAGGTACACAATATGGGAGGCAACTCTTGTAGGCTTAAGAATGAACCTTACTACATCAAGAGTTATCTCCCCTGGTGTGGCAGACGGCTCCCTTTGTTGACAAGGCAGATTTGACAGCAGAAGAGAAAAGAAAGCTGATTCAAGATGATTTTGAGAGGGGTGTGACTAATGCAAAATAGTTAGCTGGTAGACATGACATTCCTTTGTCTACAGTATACAGAACTTTTAAGAATATTCACTGAGGATTTGGGATTGAGCACAAGACAGGGGCAGGAAGGCCAAGGAAGTTCAGTACTACGGATCGCCGACGACTTGGTCAGATTGTGAATATTTGGTCAAAAGATACTGACGCCCAAAACATAGCATGAAATTTAACATGTGGGGTCGGATATCATCACGTGGTGTGACACCGTTGAGTATTTTCACTGCAAATTTGACAAAGGAACAATATGTTGACATCTCAAATGGTCACCTCCTTCCTGAACACTGTATGAAGATAATCAGATTTACCAGCATGATAACGACCCAAAACACACTGCAGGCTACATGAAACTGTGGTTGTTGGGTGAAAATGTTCAAATTTTAGACTTGCCCAGCTACAGCTCAGATCTTAACCCTATTGAGAATGTGTGGGGACTAATGAAGGACAGAATAAACCAAAAAGGACTTAGAAATATTGAGGATATGAAGAAAGAAGTGGTCGAATATTGGGATACGCTGTGAAACAATTTCCTACAAACTTTGATCGGTTGTGTACCTAGGTGCATTCAGTCATGTATTGCAGTGTAAACTTCTATAGTTTATATAAATGTATTAGATATTTGCCGAAACAACTTTTTCAATAATTTCTGGGAACACTATATGTGGGAATACCGGTACAATAAACACCTGCCACATTAATTAAAACAAAAGAGCTTTCACTAGTTACAGTATATGGGTGATGAAAAACATCAATGTCATATTTCAGGAAACATATGTATTCTTCTTTATTTTCATGTACCGGGTAATCCTGTTGAATTAATGAAAATCAGCCTTGCATAACAGTATAAATACTGATTAATAATGGAAACGTTTTCATATTCACGGAAGAGAACAAAGCTATATTATGTTTCTTATTATCTTATTATTTTTATACAGTTTCCCATCCCGATTTGTACAGTGTCTGTTGAGTACATCTCCAATGTTAAACCAATGTCTTGTTGTTGAAACAACTGCATGCACTTTTGTAGTGAACATGTAATACACAGTTACAACTATAACAAATGTCACTATTCAGATATTATTTAACTGCACATATCTGGAAAATCTGTAAACCAATATTTTATCAATTCTTGTCTTCCATACATGATTATGAAACTGCTTTCTGTTGCCTGCATGTCAGTATCTGTTTCCAAATGTATCAGCCTTGAGTTTTGAGGCCATCAGTGCCAAACTCCAACAACTAAAGCATGAGTAAATGAGGTGTTCAATGAGCACTGACCAAATCTTATTACAGGTGGAATGGCTTGTGGCAGCAAGTGAGTGAGTGAGTGAGTTTAGTTTTACGCCGCACTCAGCAATATTCCAGCTATATGGTGGCGGTCTGTAAATAATCGAGTCTGGACCAGACAATCCAGTGATCTGCATGAGCATCGATCTGTGCAATTGGGAACCGATGACATGTGTCAACCAAGCCAGCGAGCCTGACCTACCGATCCTGTTAGTCGCCTCTTACGACAAGCATGGGTTACTGAAGGTTCATTCTAACCCGGACCTTCACGGGTTGTGACACCAAGTTTACAGCAGATATGTGTACAATCTGCTTCTGATAAGCAGTACTAAAATATCTTGCTGATCATACAGTTATAACATGGATGTGTGTCATACTGGCTTTACAAAACCGTTGTCCAAAACCTGTATCCACAACTTACAGTTGGAATCCCTTAACAAAATCACAACTGAAACTTGGCAAAACTGTGTCAACAAGGTAGCTAACGTCATTGAACAAGGTTACTGGTCTCGGGATGGCTTACAACAGGCAACTGTGGCACCACTTGTCATCCCTTTAAGTCGTGACTATGACACTACGACAGAAGAGGAACAGACAGGTCTCCCAGAATAGATTTTGAGATGTCCCCCACCATGACTGGCTGTTCCGTTTCTGCGGTTTCATCCCGCCACGACAGATAACAACTTTTGCGTTTTCAATGATGATAGTTTCTTAAACAACTTTTTTGGTGGAGTCCGGAAAATTTTCAAATATAAGAAAGCTGCTGGGTATTAGTAAATGATAAACATGTGTACTACAGTCAGCTCTCGTTAATCCGACACTCATTAATCTGACAATCACGTTAATCCGACAAAAAATTAGGGAGCCATTTAAAACAGTGATAATTACTCTCGTTAATCCGACATTCTCGCATTCCGACTCCGACACACCAATCTAGCAACTAATTATTGTAAATACATTGTAAAAACATTCGTTAATCCGACAATCAACACAGCCGGTCGGATGATCCGACCGTATACAAACAATCACACGCCATTGATCAAGAAAGAAATCTCCTTTTGAAGAAAGACAAACCCCAGACAACACAACAAGAAGTCATCACTTTTGCTGAGCAGAAGTTTGATGTGAAGATTGGACGATCAACCGTATCTGACCTCCTGAAGCAGTCTGCTTAGTGGTTGAGCTTCTCTACGACTGATTCCAATGCTTCAAGCTATCTGAGGCCAAAACATCGTTGAACACTTTGCAAACATTTCTGACACACCACTTAGACGTGTTTGATGTTAATGGCCATCAAAGACTTTTTCAAGTTATAAATTATATATGTTATGATAAACACCTGATTGTACATTAGACGTCCACATGTTATTATGGAATTAGTTGTATGGAAACTGTAACATATTCAACATCCGGTCATAATGGCAGCTACTGTTAAACTACATTGATTATATATGTATGTTATGCCATCTATGAATGTTAATAAATGATAACAAGTATGTATTGTTAGTATTTTTTATTTCTGTGAATATTTTTACGTACGATGAAGATAACTAGATCTACCATTTCTGATATGCATGCAACAGTATGACGATCATGACATTTAGTAAACATTGATATTTTCACACAAATACATTAATCCGACATTTTCATTAATCCGACATTTCTGTTAATCCGACATATTTCTCTGCAACCACAAGTGTCGGATTAACGAGAGTTGACTGTATTTATATTTATGTGGCAATTTTGTACAATGATAAAATTTGCAATTCATCGGTCCGTTTCTGACTCAAACGGACTGTACTTCATGACAGTTGATAACAAATCCATTAGTGACATTTTACCAAGCAAGCAGTGGATTAGTTAAACTATTAATACATGTAAAAGCATATTAAACAATCAATGGAATCACACTTTCTTGTACACAGCACTGAAAATCAAGCAATGACAGCAATGACCACAATGAAGCACTGTGGTTGGCCTTCTGCTTATTGTAAAGAAGCAAATTGTTGAAACAGAAGATATGGACAAATGAAGACATGTACATACCCACAGAGACATATCCTAAATAATATACAATATATATGTCACACAAAGCACACCTTACAATTGTCACGAAAAGCTTTAAATTATCTTGTCTTTGAATAGGACTTACCTCAAACAAGATGGCTGACGTTGCTCTGACGGGAGCAGACGTGTGTACAACCCCACACCACAGAACTGTCAGTAACAATTCATGGTTGCCCTCACTTGAACTAAAAGAAGATTTTAAAGGTCTGTGAGTGAGTGAGTAAGTGAGTGAATGAGTGAGTTTAGTTTTACCCCACACTCAGCAATATTCCATCTATATAGCAGCAGTCTGTAAATAATCCAATCTGGACCAGACAATCCAGTGACTGACATCATGAGCATCGATCTACGCAGTTGGGAACCGATGACATGTGTCAACCAAATCAGTGAGCCTGACCACCCGATCCGTTAGTTGCCTCTTACAACAAGCATGGGTTACTGAAGATCAAGTCTAACCAGCACCTTCACAGGTTAAAGTTCTTCAATTTGAACATGTAAATATTTACAACACTGCATAAAACTAAACAAAAACACAAAAAATAATCATTCAGAATGAAGGTGAGGTGAAATTGGGTTTAACGTTGTGCTTGAGAATATTTCGCTCATATGACGACGTGCATGCGTGTGTATGTGTATGTGCGGCTGCTTGTACTAGCCCAGACTGAAGCTGGTTTTATAGTGCTAGCCCACTGAGATACCATGCCGCAGTGAAGCATGAATACCCTACTCAGACACATTATACTGACTCCGAGCCGACCAGTCCTTGTTGTACCCATTAATGCCGAGAGCCAGGCAGGGACCAACAAGTACCATATTTTAACGTCTTTTGGTATGATGCGTTCGGGGATCGAACCCGCGACCTTCCGCTCTCCGGGCGGACGCTCTAACCACTACACCACGGAGGCGGTCCTCAGAATGAAACTAGTCAGTCAGCACCATGGGGCAATGTGGGATATTTAAGCCTATAGTGACAAACATGAAAGGTGAAAAGTGGCAGATGTCAACGTCTCCATTATGAGGAACACAATGTTGAAGAGTGATGATGGAGCAAGAATATACTCTGAAACCTCATGTTTCTCATAATAATGAAGCTGACAACCTCAAATTTTCACCTTTTAAATGTGAGATATTTGAACAGAATCATAGACATTATATACAACATATAAAGATGTCTGTACTACAGCTTAGATATTTAGCGAAGTAATTCTCCCTGCAAAACATCTTTGATTTTCACAACAGTAATTCCAAGAAAAGTTACCTGAGTTCAAGAAGTGTTGCCTTTAAACTGTCGAGGGGAGCCTGGCAAAATGCCAGCGTACATAACACCTGAGTGAGGAACTCTTCCAGCTGTTTCCTGTCCTCCTCCTGGAACAGTGTTATCACATGGGCATGACCTCATCACTTGTTATCACACAGTGTTATCACATGGGCATGACCTCATCACTTGTTATCACACAGTGTTATCACATGGGCATGACCTCATCACTTGTTATCACACAGTGTTATCACATGGGCATGACCTCATCACTTGTTATCACACAGTGTTATCACATGGGCATGACCTCATCACTTGTTATCACACAGTGTTATCACATGGGCATGACCTCATCACTTGTTATCACACAGTGTTATCACATGGGCATGACCTCATCACTTGTTATCACACAGTGTTATCACATGGGCATGACCTCATCACTTGTTATCACACAGTGTTATCACATGGGCATGACCTCATCACTTGTTATCACACAGTGTTATCACATACCCAGAAGCAACTTATACACTCAGCCACATCAACAACATGGTTGACTGGCCAAGACTTGACAATTAACATGAGTGAGTGAGTTTAGTTTTATGATGCTTTCAGCAATATTCCAGCAATATCATGGCAGGGGACACCAGAATGTGCTTCACACAATGTACCCATGTGGGGAATCAAACCGAGGTCTTGGCCTGAGTGAACACTCTAACCACTAAGCTAATCCACTGCCCCTCAATTGACATGATCTTTTAGAACTCTAAATTTCGGTTTTCAGTAGTTCCACTTTTAAGAAGCACAAATAAGGCAAAATACCACATCGGTTGGCAGAAGCATTATTTTAAGAGTTATTTTAATGATCTGCTTAATTGCACAATCATGGCAGCAGAGATAATTGCTGAAAGAGGCTGAACTCACTGAGCTGAAAGATGTAAGGACTCCAACTGCATACACTGGTACAACACAGGTGGTGATGGCCGTGTGTCCCAGGTTAACTTGGTGATCTGAGGGAAGAAGTGACAGAGTAAGGTTTTACGTCACTTTTATCAGTATTCTTGGGCAACATCACAGGGTGTGTGGGATGGGGTTGCATAGAGTTACACCAGAACAGGGTTTCACACATTGTACCCATGTGGGGAATTGAGCCTGAATCTTCGACATGACAAGCGAACACTTTAACCACTAGGCTACCCCACCTGATATAATATCACGGGAAAATGTGATTTGTAAGGTGAAATTGGAGTTAATTTTGTGTTAATCACTATTGACTGAATGACTGAGTTTGGTTTTACGCTGCTTTTAAGCAATATTCCAGCAATATCACAGCGGGGGACACCAGAAATGGGCTTCACTCATTGTACCCATGTGGGGATTCGAACCCGGGTCTTCGGCGTGAGTTAAACACTATTGAACTGACATAGTGAGTGTGGTGTGTTTTTGAGCGTGTGCTGTTTATGACAGTATTACAGTTGTATCACAGTGTCACATCTTGGTGAAGGGGGATTGAACTGAGTTCACCACTTAAGTGGAACATATCTACCCCGGTAACAAGACAATCCAAAATTCACCTACCTAGCTGCTCTTCAGGTAGAACTACAAGCTCCTCAAACTTTGGTTTCACCTGAAAACAAAAGCAGAAGCTGTAACAAAGGTTTGTTTGTTATTTGACTACACAGCTATATTCCAGCTGTAAGATTACGGTCTATATACATTCAAGTCTAGACCAGACTATCCAGTGATTGAATCAACAAAGATAAAAACCATTCAAAAATACAGAAACACCTGACGTTTGATGCAATACACCTGTGTCATGACACAAAATATATATAGTTTATGTATTTTACAGCCAAATAAATCTATCTAAAGAGTATAAATGTAACCTCTGAAAGCTCCCCATGACCTTCAAATTTTCAATTTCACAATGTTTGTGTAGTCATCCGAGATGAAATATTTAAGCAATGGAAGTGTTTAATCATCTTCAAAGTAATCCGTTATTAAGAAATACAGTTCGCTCTACCACCATGTATAGTGTAATAAAGCGCACTTTGTGCTTTATTACACTATACATGGTGGTAGAGCGAACTGTATTTCTTTTCTCAGATACCAAATTAAATATTTTCTAAGGATAATTACGATTAATTTAAGGCAGAAAACAAACGACGGTGTGCGTGACCTACGCACAGGGCTAACTGGTGCACTGTTCTATTGATGTGTCTGCCCCCCCTACGTTAAGACGAACGTTACCAGAAAAAAACAAATGATAACAGTTTGATGACGGTTTACGTTCGGATTAAATATCTTCTCTGAATTATTTTAATTACATCTGTCATTAACGTAAACCATATGGGGCAATATGAACGTCGCATTTCTACTACCAACATAAGTTTAGATCAGTACATCCAGATGAAGCTGAGTAGTCAAGCGACATTCCACGATTGCATTGTGGGAATGTAAACATTGCGAACGTTACCGTGTCGCTGAAAACTTGTGAGTCGAATTGACACATTTTAACCGTCGTAAAACATAAACGTAATGTGTCCACCAGTGATGTTAGCTGCGTGAAGCAACTGCAAACCAAGAAACGGGATGCAATGGAGTAGTTTACTGTAGGAGGCCGTACGAGGCGATGACAACTGACATGCATCATGACGTCGCTTACATTGCGACGTAATGTAAAATGGTTCGATTACGAGGGGGCACACTAGAATGGCGCAGTGACAGGATAACGTCATTCAATTGTTACGTCATCAAAAAAGTATACCTTTATTGTCTGATAATGTATTGTTTTTTCAATTGTTCTAACCGCTAGGCATCTTAGAAAAGTTACTCACCTTCTTATCAGTGAAGGTTTTCCCAAATGTTCGACATAGCCGGAAGACATATTTACACAAGGCATTGACCACCTTCTGCATGGAGAGGCCGACGCCCATGGTAACCTCCAGGATCCTGGCCAGTCTGTACAGGGAGGAAGGAACGCATTCAGTTAGGATAACTCTCTCAGGGATTTATTGGGGATTTTAAACTGAGTGTCTTTGCTAGCAAGTTGGAATTTTTGTATTATTGTCACAAACTTTTTTACATTCTTATTTACAATTCTGAGAAGTTGGGAAATGTGAATTCAACAGTGGGAATTTTACTATCTTTGGCTGAAAACTTGGGTCCCAGTATGTTTCTGTTCAGGTTGAGATATACATCTGATTCTAATGCAGATGTTCAGGATGATAGTAATTACATTCATTTGTTCTAAATTCATAACTTGCAACTGACTGTGTTAATGGATGTGAAGTAAGAGAATTTGTAATTTACTATGAAGGTGTAATCACAAATAGATTTATAACATGTTACATTTAACCACTGTATGAAAGGCATGTCTATTTAATATAACATCCATCTGTTAAACATAGGATATGACATACAAGTGTTTGAGATTAGGCATTGTCTCACACAGTGAGTGAGTGAGTGAGTTAGTGAAAGTGAGTGAGTGAGTATGGTTTTAGGCCACTTTTAGCAATATTCCAGCAATATCATGGCAGGGGACACAGAAATGGGCTTCACACATTGTACCCATGTGGGGAATCGAACCCAGGTCTTCAGCATGACAAACAAACCCACTAGGCTAACCCACCACCCCTTACACAACCAAGTTGTCAGTCTCTCCATGAATTTGCCCTTAGAACAGACATGACATACTTGAAATCTATATTGAACAAAAAAGTTAGGGATCAACATTTGGGGATATTTTTATGAAATTGTGCTGAACCATTTCTACAAAAGACATCCCCCCAAATATATGACCCCTAACTTTTGCTGTTCAGTATATTATGACCTGGTAGGCCTGGGATGCTACACGTGCAGACTTTTATCAAGGACACTCACAGATTATTTACAACCCAGTTGAGCTGTTCCCAAGGTTCAAACCATTCTTGTGACAGGTGCTCTGTGTACAGGTGGACAAGGGTAGACAACTCTTGCTTGCCTCCCAGAATGACACTCAGGTCGGACAGTGGACAGTTGGGCATCGGGAATCTGGACACTGTAATACAAAAACCGATAAGTTTTCAAGCAAAATATTTCTGATGATGTGCGATGTTAAAGTTGTAACAAACTGGACTGTTAGTTGTAAAGTTCATTCAACTGCAAGATAATTGTAACAAGAAGACAAAGTCATCAATATCCCCGCAATGGCAAAATACTCTTCATGATTATGTCTCACGAGTTATGATTATGTCAGATATTTAGGTGTATATATAGAAAAGTGGAAGGAGAGTATTGAAAGGTTTTGAAAGTTCTGCTCCAGAAAGGAGCACTATCACCAATTTCAGTCAAAGTGAAACTTGTTGCCATGGAAACGCCAAAAATATTTTATTCAGAATTCCAAAACTACCAAAAGGCACCAGTACACCACCAGATCTATCTATGTGCCAAGTTTGGTGAAGAAATATTGAACAGTTTTTAGAGTTCTGCTCCAGAAAGAGCACTACCACTAATTTCAGTCTAAGTCAAACTTGTTGCCATGGAAACGCCAAAAATATTTTATTCAGAATTCCAAAACTACCAAAAGGCACCAGTACACCACCAGATCTATCTATGTGCCAAGTTTGGTGAAGAAACATTGAACGGTTTTAGAGTTCTGCTCCCGAAAAGAGCACTACCACTAATTTCAGTTTTAGTCAAACTTGTTGCCATGGAAATGACAAAATATTTTATTCATAAATTCCAAAACTACCAAAGGCACCAGTACACCACCAGATCTATCTATGTGCCAAGTTTGGTGAAGAAATAGTGAACAGTTTTAGAGTTCAGCTCGGAAAAAGAGCACTACCACCAATTTCAATCTAAGTCAAACTTGTTGCCATGGAAACGCCAAAAATATTTAATTCAGAATTCCAAAACTACCAAAGGCACCAGTACACCACCAAATCTATCTATGTGCCAAGTTCGGTGATGAAATAGTGAACGGTTTTAGAGTTCTGCTCGAAAAGAGCACTACCACCAATTTCAGTCAAAGTCGAACTTGTTGCCATGAAAACGCCAAAAATATTTAATTCAGAATTCCAAAACTACAAAAGGCACCAGTACACCACCAGATCTATCTATGTGCCAAGTTTGGTGAAGAAATAGTAAACAGTTTTAGAGTTCAGCTCGGGAAAGAGCACTACCACCAATTTCAGTCAAAAGTCGAACTTGTTGCCATGAAAACGCCAAAAAATATTTAATTCAGAATTCCAAAACTACCAAAGGCACCAGTACACCACCAGATCCATCTATGTGCCAAGTTTGGTGAAGAAACATTGAACGGTTTTAGAGTTCTGCTCCGGGAAAAGACAAATGTGCACGGACGGACGGACGGACGGACGCACGGACGGAGTCGATTTTAATACCCCAGCAAAACGAGTTCGCGGGGATAATTGACTGTGTTACAAAAGTATTTGTAAACAGGTATGTCATGGACTCACTGTCAATGTCATCAACATCTTCACTAATTGATTCAAGGTGTTTGATAAATGGACCACTTTCAAGGACGGAAACAAATTGGAAGGGGAGCAACTCTGTCAATTCTTTCAGAAGGATCAAGAAGCGGCTCTCATCAAGAGGAAGTGTCGTGCTGTTTGTAGTTTTCTGTATCACAAGAGCACCCTAAAGGGAGATAACAAAAATTTGTCAAATCGGTAATTAATAGATAGAAATAGGGAAAAATATAATACATATCAATATCAATTAAGTGAACAAAAATGTTGAAAATACACAATTATTTATCAATACAAACATTCATAGCATAATCTAGAGATAGTTACAATATATATAATATATATTTATTACATTATGGAATTATCATCTATTACACAAAATGAAATTTTAAAGTAAAATTAATATTTTTATACTTATCCTGACTCATGTTTATTTGCTTGTCTTCTTCTTCTGGCGAACCTAGTGGAACACTTGTATCTCCCAATTGAAGTTCCCTTCAATAAAAATCACTCATTAGTACTGACCACGAGTTACCTCCCTTCCACAAGCTGAACAGAGGGCCACCCTGAACCCATGTGCCTCACTCTCTCCTCATATACTGAGCCCAACACCTGAATTTCCAGGAAATCCAAAGTGTTAAGTGGGGAGGGGAGGGAGGGCTTACCTCATGAGTCAGGATAAGTATAAAAATATTAATTTTACTTTAAAATTTCATATTTTTTCTTATCCTGACTCATGTTTATTTGTTTGTAGAATCCTACGGAATAGGAGGTGGGATTATATATACTTTGGATTTTACTAATTAGTGATTTGAACTGAGATAATTGTAATAACCCTAAGGGAACTTCATGAAGGCACTGAACTGAATTCCTGCTGTTAACTTATCAGTTGCCATATAAGGGTTATTACAATTTACTGAATATAATAAAGTATATAGAACATTAATTAAGCTAAAGCTATTAATGTGATAGTATAAACTGTTGATAGTTTATAATGAATACTTTTATAAGAACCAAAGTAGTAAGCTTACAATATGCATATATGTAAGTTATAACAGAATTGTGCTTAAGGTATAATGATACTTTAAGCTGTATAATAGTAACCAACTACTGAGAGTTTGTTAACTAATACATGTTATGAAATGAACATATGACTGAGCTTAAGGTTGAAACTTAAGCTGAACATATATATAATAGTAGAACTCCTAAGAGTTGTAGGCATATATATAGTATGATTATAGAACTGTGCTTAAGATATAATTAACTTAAGCAACCTAAATAGCCAAAACAACTCTGTAGAGTTTGTTAGCTATTACATTTTATAATGTAACCATAATGCTTAAAAAAATATGATGAAACTTTAAGCTAAGTATATGATAGTAAAAACTCTTTAGAGTTTGTTAGCTAATATACTTATATGATATAAACACAGTACTGAGCTTTAAGATATGAATAACAAACTTAAGCTACATATATAATAGTAAAAACTCCGTAGAGTTTGTTAGCTAATACATGTTATAATGTAACCATAATGCTTAAGATATGATGAAACTGAAGCTAAGTATATGATAGCAAAAAACTCTTTAGAGTTTGTTAGCTAATATACTTATATGATATAAACAAAGTAATGAGCTTAAGATATGAATAAACTTAAGCTACATATATAATAGCAAAACTCCGTAGAGTTTGTTAGCTAATATATTTATAATGTAACCATAGTACTGAGCTTAAGATATGATTAACTTAAGCTCAATATATAATAACAAACTCTCGTAGAGTTGTTGGCTTACATATTGTATGATATAATAACCATAGTACTGAGCTTAAGATAATAAATTGAACTTAAGCAAAATATATATAGCATGTAGCTATTTAGTACTGTTATAAGATAAGTAAAATTCTGTAAGATGGACTTATCTTCTCAGGAACTGTCAACTGTTGTGCGAGGACCATGGGACCGAATAGGTGGATACCTGAGGGGCGTCCTCGGTGGTGATATCTCTCAGATAGTGGTTGGCAAACACCATATCGGATCTCCAGAAATAACCCTCCATTATTCCAAAAGCATTTGTGTAGAGCAATTGTAGATGTTAGCGTTCTAATATTATGAGGATTAGAAGCTCATGGAGGGTAGAGTCCTACAGTCTTGTAGGCACGTAGTATGACAGTTCTGATCCAAAAGGAGATATAGTAGTACGTGAGACTTTCGTCTGCGTGAGCTTGATAGAGGAAATAAAATCTCTTACATTTTTCCCTCCCGTTTGGCTCGGTGGAGATATATTTTCAGTGCTGTTACTGGCCATCGTGATAGATTCATCGTATCATGGGGTTCAAGTATATCATCAAAGCGTGTTCATAAACCTCACTTGTGAGGTGTTGGAGCACTATATTCAGATCCCAAGTTGGAGCGTGAACTTCCGTTTTAATCCTCCAATCGGAAAGCTCGTAGCAGAGGCGAAAGTAACTGGGTTAAGGTTAACTTGACGCCCGTTCTCAGTTATGATAGAGCTATTGCTGCAAGATAGGTGGACAAGCTGAGCCTTATAAAATCTTAGTCTGACGTAGATAACATAAGTAGTCCGGCCCACTTGAGGATGAGTAGCATATCTAGCTGTAAATCCTTCCTTTGCAGCATAATTGACAAACTGTGCCATTTGTCATCGTGATAAGTTCCCAGTTGAGTCGCGGAGGGCAAGTTAGACTGCTTTTGCTCTGGCTGAATAACTTGTTATTCAGACACATATGATACAATCCATACTTTGAAGTTGGAATATATCTGGCTTTTCCGTATGCTTTGTTTGGTGTGCGGATGTATTAACAGATCTCGAGCACTTTCTGTAAGATGTAGTATTGGTTGTCTGATTTCTTGAATAAGAGTTGGAAACCACTTCCTCGCTGGTCAGTAGGCCCGTGACCAAAATCAGATGGAGGCTCTGCTTTAGACTGATTTAAACTTGTAAACTTGTGAGATTAACGCTGGTGGCGGAAAAGCGTCGCGTTGAGACCTTCCTACCACGATATGCTTAGTCGCCTGTTGCCAATGCTAGTGGGTCTGGAACTGGCGATCACTTAATGTTGTCAGTTGTTCGTTGAATCGAATGGTAAAATAGGTCTATTAGTGTAGTTCCTATTTCCTTGATAATTTGAGTGAATATATCTGTATGGAGCATTCATTCTGTCGTGATGACATGGTACGTGTGACCGAGAGAGCGTCTGCTATCATTCTTTGCTCCTGGAATGTGATATGCTCTAACATGTATGTTGAGATTGTTGATTAATCGGCCCGGGGACCTGGTTGAGAGCTTAGTTTGTTCACATAAAAGCGCCACTGTCGAATTGACTGTGTGAATCATCCACTGGGTATGCTGTAGTAAGTTGCTCCAGTGTATTAAAGGCGTTTATTACAGCTTGCATCTCTAGCAGATTTATATGTAATTGCTCTCTTGATTGCTCATAGCCCTGATGCCCTCCTGTTGGCAAGATGGGCTCCCCAACCTTATAGTGACACATCCTCACGTAGAGAAGTGTTATCGATTCCAGCTCTATTAACTGAGGCGCTTCTATTCAAACATTCAATCTCTTGGTGCATCATAGTAGATGAGGTTTGACCTGAACTGATGAATTGAACGGTAGAGATTCAGCCTCTAGATGCGTAATTGCTGATGACTTGTAGCGGATGTAATTGTAGTCTGCCTCTGCCTGTCATGTCTTGAGCTGAGCTGAAGTGCGTAACCCCAACAGACTCTGTCACTGTCGTAGTGGTAGCGGAGATAGTAAGGCTTGTGGAAATGACTGTTGGATCTTGATCCATAGTCCTCCGGTACAATTATACGATTCGCGAGTTACAAATCAAAACCTAGAAATAGCAGATCTTGCGAAGGTTCTAGGTCCAACTTAAGTGGAGGTTTACTAACCATCTAGTTGTGTTAGTAGCTTGATGATGAATTCAACTGTAGTCTGAGATGCTATGGATTTGGATCCATTTGTATCCCGCCGTCGAGGAAGTAAATTTGCTGCGGCGTTTTGACGATGTAGATGCATAACCAGGGTGACTGTCATCGTTGAACTTTATGTAAAAAATCGTCTGACTGCCGTGTCCTCGTTCTTACTTGACAGGGGAGGTCTCTAACCTCAAGAAGGCAGCCCAATCATGAAGGTTTAGATAAGCTGGACTGTAAGGAGGCTTGCTCGTTCACTGATATATTGTTGTCACTTGCAACCTAAGTGTTGAACTGTGAACTATGATCGACCTCTGCGTGAGGCGTTGTCCATCTCGGTCCAATCAGAACAAGGCATTTTGATTCTGTAGAAAGTACCAGCGCTGTGGCGTCACGGTGTATCAGGAAAGGAACCTTGTATAATATAGTGCCGTCGTTGATATAAGAACAATCGTCGGTCTTCACCCGTAACTTCCCGGTTACCCAGTGACCGATGTTTCGAGGGGTTGATGGTAAGCGCGCGAAACCTCGACGTGAAATACCTCGCTCTGTAATATTAATGCTGGGTAAGTTATTTTCCAGGCTGTCGTGAAAGTAACTTCAGTCTTGAAGATAATTCCGACTTCCTTATATAAGGTTCAATAACCTTGCAAGTTGTCAGCTTGTAGACTGTTAAAGCTGAACTTGTACATATTACTTGAGGAAATCGTTGGCGATTATGAGTTTTACTACGCTGTAACAAGACTGCTGTTCAATTTAGTTTTGAATTGTCTGCAGATTCTGCGTAATAGTCACGCATGTAGATAATCGTATCATAGTAGGTAGTCGGCTTGAAGATCCTAATTAGGCTCTTCATCCGTTGATAAATTAATACAGCGGCGCTTGTTGTTGTAAATAGCCTGTGCAATTGTCTTGGCGCTGTAGGCTTTGTAGGCGGCATATGGCTTACAGTTGATAAACAACTCATGTGATGTCTTGAAGCGGACTGGACGAAAGTGGCTATATATGATGAGTGGCTAGTATATGGAGACCTTTGAGGAGACTTCCTCGTGACGCCGAGGGATTTTCGCGAAGATCTCTGAAGTAGCGCTTCTAGATCTTCTGGGTGAAAATAGACTTGGAGCCACTTAGCCTCAGGCGACCTTCGCGTGAAGTATCGAGTCAGAGTCCGATCAATATATGAGCTTGCTTCGCGAGCGACCTCTCCCATGTTCTACAGGGTGTGGGCTCGGCGGCGCTCCTTCGATCTTAAATGATACCATGGTCTTCCTCTGACGTATGGTGGTATGCTCCGAACCTCGATCTGTAAGAAGATCTATGTGAGGACTGAGGAGAGCGGACTGACGATTGGCTGAAGTGTATGTAGACCTTGAAAGACATCCTTGGCGGAAACTGTGGGCTTCGAGAGCGGTGATGAAAGCCGCGGAGGCGCTCTGGACTTCTCGAGGCGTGAGGCTTACTCTGGCAACGCCTCCTAGGCGTTTGTAGAACCACGCAGCCTTGGCGTCTTGGCGTGAATGTCTGGAGTCAGTGGCCGATCCGACATATGAGTGCTTGCTTTGAGCGCCCGCCGGTACATGACAAGGTGCGTGGTGCTAGGTGAAGCGCTCTTCCTCTCCGCCAAGCCTCTTGCAAAGAGGTCAGGCTCTAGCTCCTCCTCGGAGGCTGCCTGGGATACCTTATGCAAAAAGCTCACTCCAGGCAGGGTTGCCCCGCCGGGCCCAGCGCCTATGGAGCTCAGGGGCCTCTCTGCAGCGAAGTCAAGAGCGGGCTCTGGGGCCCTGTATGACTTAGTATGGGGTGGGCTCTGGGGCCGTGGCTCTGAGGCCTCTGTAAGCGTAGCGGTCTTCCATCAGCCTCATGATTTGGTTGACCAGGTCGTCTGGGGACTGGGTCTGCTGCTGGCGTTGGAGGTGTCCCTCTGTGATAGTGACGGGACCCTCAGTTATAATCTCAGCGTCAGCGTAAGGCATCTCGGATTGCATGTTGATCTGCGTTGAAGTGACAGTAGCCGTGCTGGTCACTTCTTATGACATACATCTGGAATGATAAGCGAAATGTCATCATCATATAAACATAATTCTGAATATCAGAAGCAAAGTTTTTAGTAGCCGTGGATTTCCCTTTGGCCGAGGCTGTAGACCTGGGGGCTCGGAGCATCACGTTGAGACGGCGGAAGTTCTTCTAGTTTTAGACTGTGATGAAGGAACTTCCTGGGAAGCAGGTAAGCTTCTAGATATAGCGGACTTCGCGTCCCCACGCTGATCCCCAGAGGTAACTCAGGATATATCTGACTCCGATCTATTAGCCATGACTGAAGATTGTTTCCGAGATTTATCTGCCTTCCGTCTCAAAGCGGAACATAAATATTTATCAAAGGCAGAAATTAGTAGAATTAATACATAATTTACAATGAGAAACAATAGAACATGGAGTAATGCAACTAGGGCATTTTAAATGTGGATCGGTAGCAGAATGCGTCGAATTTACAAACAGTGCAGATTTTTATTAGCGCAAACTGCTGAGCAAACATGGCTTAACCGTGAATCAAGCAGCAGAAACACGAATAATTATCAATGCATGTTGAATAATGATGCTAGTTACACCTCTATAGATGAATATAAGAGGTAACAAACTAAATATAAACAAAGAAGACAAAGTCATCAATATCCCCATAATGGCAAAATACTCTTCATGATTATGTCTACGAGTTATGATTATGTCAAATATTTAGGTGTGTATATAGAAAAGTGGAAGGAGAGTATTGAAAGGTTTTTAAAGTTCTGCTCCAGAAAGGAGCACTATCACAATTTCAGGCTAAGTCAAACTTGTTTGCTATGGAAACGCGTAAAAATATTTTATTCAGAATTCAAAACTACCAAAAGGCACCAGTACACCACCAGATCTATCTATGTGCCAAGTTTGGTGAAGAAATAGTGAATGGTTTTAGAGTTCAGCTCCAGAAAGAGCACTACCACAATTTCAGGCTAAGTCAAACTTGTTGCCATGGAAACGCCAAAAAATATTTTATTCAGAATTCCAAAACTACCAAAAGGCACCAGTACACCACCAGATCTATCTATGTGCCAAGTTTGGAGAAGAAATATTGAACGGTTTTAGAATTCTGCTCGGAAAGGAGCACTACCACTAATTTCAGTCTAAGTCAAACTTGTTGCCATGGAAAGCGCCTAAAAATATTTTATTCAGAATTCCAAAACTACGAAAAGGCACCAGTACACCACCAGATCTATCTATGTGCCAAGTTTGGTGAAGAATTATTGAACGGTTTAAGAGTTCTGCTCCGGAAAAGACAAATGTGCACTTGACGGACGGACGGATCTGGATCTATGCCTTGGACGTGAGTCCATTTTAATACCCCATAAAAGGCGTTCGCGGGGATAATAAAGGATATAGTGTGCAGGGGAGACACAGGTGCTCTCTACCGTCTTGCTCACTGGGCTGAAGAAAGGAGAGAGGAGGCACATGGGTTCAGGTGGCCCTCGTCCCAGCTTGTGGAAGGAGGTAACTCGTGGTCAGTACTAATGAGTGATTTTTTATTGAAGGGAACTTCAATTGGGAGATACCTAGAAGTGTTCCACTAGGTTAAGCCAGAAGAAGAAGACAAGCAAATAAACATGAGTCAGGATAAGAAAAATTGTCATTATTAAGCGAAATGAAAGGAATGGAATAAACAACATATAAAAATGTCCTTGGAGTGAGCCAGTGAGGCAGGCCCAGGTGGGTGGAGTTCTTCACACAGTGTGGTCCTACAGCAACGTACTACAGTGTCACAGTGACACCAGGTTCATGGTTTACAGACCCTCTCAGGTAACGCCCTTCTCAGGTAATGTCCTTCCCAGGTAATGCCCTTCTCAGGTAATGCCCTTCTCATGTAACACTACTCAGGTAATGCCCTTCTCAGGTAACTACTCAGGATAACATCCCTTCTGAGGTAATCTCTCACTCAGGTAACTCTCTACTCAGGTAACACTCTTCTCAGGTAACTCTCTACTCAGGTAACACCCTTCTCAGGTAACTCTCTACTCAGGTAACACCCTTCTCAGGTAACTCTCTACTCAGGTAACACCCTTCTGAGGTAACTCTCTTCTCAGGTAACTCTCTACTCAGGTAACTCACTTCTCAGGTAACTCTCTACTCAGGTAACACCCTTCTCAGGTAACTCTCTACTCAGGTAACACCCTTCTCAGGTAACTCTCTACTCATGTAACACTCTACTTAGCTAACACCCTTTTCAGGTAACTCTCTAATCAGGTAACACCCTGAGGTGATAACTCTTTACCCTGTTAACACCCTCAAGCTATAACTCACTACTCCCACAACACTCTACTCTATAATATAAATCACCCAATAGATGACACAGAAACTGAGATGAACTATAGACCCCAATTGATATAATACAGACATGGGCCATAAGATACCTTTCAAAAGAGATGTCATTTGTGATTTTGCATTGCATCTTGAACACAGAAGATGATAAAATACCCAGACTCCAGTTAAATAATGGTGATTAATCAGGCAATATTAACATGATGTCACTGAGATAGAATGAGTTATACCAAGGACCAACTTGCAAAAAGCAGTCTTAGTATTATTGAAAGTCAACACTAATGTATGTGCACTATGTTAATCTTAGTGCTAAGATAGATTTGTGAAAGGGGACCTAGATTCCAGTGAGATACACAAGAACAAACTAACGGAATCCAGACAGTGAAGCACAGATACCAGTGACATAGTGCACTATTCCATAGATTCCAGTGAGACTCACTCTGTACCATTAAGCAGATCACCCAGTTATAGATTGATTCCAGTGTTAGTACATAGATGAGATAACCTTCATACCACCCTTGAGATATCAGGAATTGATTCCAGTGAGACTCACTCTGTACCATTAAGCAGATCACCCAGTTATAGATTGATTCCAGTGTTAGTACATAGATGAGATAACCTTCATACCACCCTTGAGATATCAGGAATTGATTCCAGTGAGACTCACTCTGTACCATTAAGCAGATCAGCCAGTTATAGATTGATTCCAGTGTTAGTACATAGATGAGATAACCTTCATACCACCCTTGAGATATCAGGAATTGATTCCAGTGAGACTCACTCTGTACCATTAAGCAGATCACCCAGTTATAGATTGATTCCAGTGTTAGTACATAGATGAGATAACCCTCATACCACCCTTGAGATATCAGGAATTGATTCCAGTGAGACTCACTCTGTACCATTAAGCAGATCACCCAGTTATAGATTGATTCCAGTGTTAGTACATAGATGAGATAACCTTTATACCACCCTTGAGATATCAGGAATTGATTCCAGTGAGACTCACTCTGTACCATTAAGCAGATCACCCAGTTATAGATTGATTCCAGTGTTAGTACATAGATGAGATAACCTTCATACCACCCTTAAGATATCAGGAATTGATTCCAGTGAGACTCGCTCTGTACCATTTAGCAGATCACCCAGTTATAGATTGATTCCAGTGTTAGTACATAGATGAGATAACCTTCATACCACCCTTGAGATATCAGGAATTGATTCCAGTGAGACTCACTCTGTACCATTAAGCAGATCACCCAGTTATAGATTGATTCCAGTGTTAGTACATAGATGAGATAACCTTTATACCACCCTTGAGATATCAGGAATTGATTCCAGTGAGACTCACTCTGTACCATTAAGCAGATCACCCAGTTATAGATTGATTCCAGTGTTAGTACATAGATGAGATAACCTTCATACCACCCTTGAGATATCAGGAATTGATTCCAGTGAGACTCACTCTGTACCATTAAGCAGATCACCCAGTTATAGATTGATTCCAGTGTTAGTACATAGATGAGATAACCTTCATACCACCCTTGAGATATCAGGAATTGATTCCAGTGAGACTCACTCTGTACCATTAAGCAGATCACCCAGTTATAGATTGATTCCAGTGTTAGTACATAGATGAGATAACCCTCATACCACCCTTGAGATATCAGGAATTGATTCCAGTGAGACAAACTGTGTATCATCCTCGGAAACTACAAAATTCCACTGCAATAACCTTTGTATTATCACCCTGAGATATTACACAAATATTTCACTGGAGATAATATACTGAAACACACAATCAACTTTTACTCCAAAACAGAAAAGATTTGTTTATACATGAAGCCCTTCTCCAAACACATCAAATTGGATTAAAACCATTACAATGATATCTCATGTCAAAATACCCTGAACTTCATTTTGCCAAATATTACAAAAACAAAACAGGCATTTTCAAAGTGATTCAGTATCAATAGAAATTGTGAGAGATATCCTTTTATCACCCAAGACATACCTAAGAGATAATCTTTTCTATCATGCTGGAGTAAGTACCAACATTGCAGTGAGATATCCTTTACATGAGGGAGATATATGGCATATACCCCATGATAACACAGAGAGTTTCTATGGGAACCATGTATTCTGTAAACCATGAAGCAAGTGTATATTAATGATATAAGTCTATATCTAGTAATGCTGGTTAAGAAAGCTTGGCACTGCAGAGACAATGAGAGTGAGACAGTGAGAGATCCCTCCACCAATTAACTGAACACAGCAAGGAGAGGCTATCAACACTGGGTCAGGTCGGTCAGACAGACAGTTGGAGTCTCAGGCGCGAGAGGTGAATGTGACGTGAACTTGGCACATCTGAAAGTAAACACTAACTTGTCTCCCCTTAGTGTCATGACTTTCCACTATCTGTACTTCTCATACTTAACAAAAATCTAGATCACATCACCCTTTACATTTTGTGGTCTACTGATTCAGGGTCAGTTTCAAACTGAGTACAGAATCATGTGTGTTTTGGACTTCTCACTACATCTGATCAGAAATAGGGATAAAATGTGTTAACCTTTGATGTTCATCTACTTGCTTGATAACACGAAGAACATATACCAAAATGTTGCTCATAATTGTAATGCAGTAGTTGTTCATCTGTATATTTTATCCTTACTCAGTAATTTCCAAAATGCCAAAAATGTTCTCGTAATTTCTTGTCCTTTTCAGTTGACACTGACCATTCTGGACTCCGGAAACAATGACCTGAGGGGAGACAAGGTTAGTGGAGTCTCCATCCCAGACATGAACTGTCTGTGACAGGACTTGTGAGAAAAGAAAAACAAAAACAAAATAAACAAATGTAAAGCCACAATAGCTCTGACACGTGACTCAAGTTGTCGTGTTGATTCTCAAGATGGGTCTGTGATGAAGACATAGGTTGACGATGAGGCGGATATATATGGAGACATGTCTGATGTTGGACAAGAGAATGTTTAAATATATTACTGAACAATCAACACATTACAGGTCACACAAATATAATAATCATATGTCAGTTATTGTTAGCATGTACATTAATATTAATCAATAACTTAATATTTAATATAAATGAGATAACAATTATGAATTAACATTAGGAAACATTAATGGTAAGATGTATTTATGAAGAATATGAATGGGTGAGTGAGTGAAATACATGTCCTGCTCAATCATTGGTCAACATGGTGGTCAAGATATAGACATGGTCAATAATGAATTAATTAAGAATTTAACAATGCAACATATCAAAGATACTTTTTATCAGGCAATCAATGAATATTGCTCAACTAAAAACTGGACAAAATCATTATCTCTTAAAGTCCTTCTTTTTTTTAAATTCAGGGTATTGTCTTATTTCATTCTATGTTTTAAACTCCAAGCAACTGAAGCCATCCTTAATCACTCAAAGAGTGAATAATCATTAACCAAAAAGTGACAAAATAGTCCTATAAACGTCTTCAGCAATTTTGCAGCAAATCACACTACATCAATCACCCAGTATCTGAAGCATAACAATTTATAAAATGACAACTTTTAAACTACATCATGCAGCTTTTAAAATATTCCAGCAACATCACAGCAATAGCTACACTGAACACGAATTAAACAAATGTTGGGAGTTGAACTCAAGTCTTCGGTGAGACATGGCAACACTTCAGCTGCAAGGCCACCCTACAGTCCAAAGTTCACAATAGATCATGGAGGCACACAATCCCTGTTGAGTTCCTCACTTCCATTCAAATATTTAATGCAATGAGCATGTGACCCGACCATGTGACCCGACCATGTGACCATGATTGCAGCCTGACCTGTCTACAGCTACATGAGCTACAACTTGAGTCACGTGTCAGTGAAGCTAGACAGGCCAGAGGCCTCAAATTAAGGTGTGCCTTAACTATTTCCTCCAGGTCACGCAACACAGAATGCAGGAGTTCGTGTTCCAGCCGACCCAGCTCATACGCCCAGGCAGCGAACGACGGCAGGAACACGTGCAGAGTGGCTTGTTGCACTTTCTCCGATGAATCGCGCAGCCCTATCTTTAGTAGTTCAGATCCCTGGAAACAAATTCAATATGTCAGCTCAAGATGGTTAGTAATGTTGTTGGAATATTTGGAAGAAAATAACATAATCCTGACTTATCTACAAGGACTTCAACAAATCAGCCTACATCAACATTATGAAACAAATCATAACAGTTGTCAAATTCACAAAAAGTTTTGTATGAAGAAAATATTTTCAGTTCTTCATCCTATTTCACACCTCAATCCTACCCTAGTCACAAGTTAAGACATCTGTGGTCTCATCTTCGGCAAGTGAGTTTGTTATGAAATTGCCTCTGTTCACCCAGCAGAAAATAGGTACCTGGTGGGCTAAGTCATATGACTATTAACCTTTAACCTGAGAATTTTTCTGACAGCGAGTTGGTGATGGGTTTGTCTCACAGGCAGCTTGGGTTATCCGACCGTGGGTGATAGTGTCCATCATGTTGTATGCTCTTAGAGCAGTTCAGGGTGATATAGGTGGCCTTATTAATTGATGGATGTTTGTTGTTTAACACAGCAGTCATGTTTAACACAGCAGTCAGCAATATTCAACCCGAATCACAACAACTGACCACGTGAAGATTCTGGGCTAGCAATTGGTCTCAGTTGATAGTCAATGACTCAGTGGCTTGGTTGATGCATGCCATCACATCCCCCAAATGGTGGACCGATGCTCATGATGGCAGTTACTACATCGTCTCGTCTTGACAACACAGACCAATCACAATGTTGGAAAACTGCTGAGTTCGTCATAAACAACAAAACAGAAAATGCAAATAACAAACAAGTGGCTGATATCATGAGCAACATCCCAGGTTTCACGAGACAAGCAAATATGCGTCCAGTGGCAACAAATGTAGAGAATGGACACAGAAAAACATTCACTGCGGGCAGTAGGGAAAATAATGTAGGTCTGGGACTAGATAAACCAAGAAACATAATCAGGATACACTTGCACAAAGCAATCTTTCACAAAGCAACCTTTACTAAGCTCCCACTCTTGATGACTAATTAGCTTATGTTATCACCTTAGCATGGGAGTTCAGATCATTAAGATGGAAATGGACCCACAATAATGATCAGTTGAAATACACTGTAACTTCAACCATTAACTCACCTGAGCAAACTTGTCAGTATCACAGATAAAACCAGTGAGAAGTCCGAGACTCTTGATCACAGCTTCCCGCACATCGTCATCCTTGTCGTCACGCAGCATTTGCGTCAGCATGGACATCAACAACGAACTGCGGATCTCATGCTGTACAACAAACATGCCATTTGCTAAAATTAAACAAACACTTAACTTTGTAGTCAATGCTCTTCAACATAGTTTTGGGGGAAAACCTCTATAGTTGTCTACCATATAACCTGGAAGCCTGGTCTATTCTGTGGAATACAGGCAGCTAATCTAAAATATGCTCTCTTGTGAGAGTAAATGAATGTTACTTCTTAAGAATACATAACAATTGTGAGTATGTTTCTGAGCTTACCGAGAGGTATGAAGCAAGAGCTCCACAGGCTTCTGCCACTAGCAGTCGTCTCTCCACATACTTGTGGCTTATCTGAAACAAACACATCCCAATGCAATACTTGGCTTCAGAAATACCAGGGCCCAGTTAAACAAAATGCCTCAGTACTAACATAGCTTTACAGAATAGATATGAGATATTAAAACTTAAGGTCAAGAATGTAGTAAGAAGAATGCAATATGTTTGTGTAGACTGTGAACCATGAAACCAATGGGATCTATTAACCACAAAGAATGTCTGGAAGGAATGCTATGCTATATGTTTATACAACCAGGTAGTCTGCTGAAGGATATCACTGATATTGATCTACTTGGGATAGACTAGTGGTTAAACCAATGTCTTGCTCATGCTATATGTTTATACAACCCAGGCTGTCTGCTGAAGGATTTTGATATTGATCTACTTAAGGATAGATAAACAATATCACACAAAGCCCACATAGATACAATATGCAAAGCCCACTTCTCGTGTCCCTGCCGTGATATTGCTGGAATATTGCTAAAAGTGGTGTAAAATATAATCTCCCTCATCTACAACTGAGGTACGAGAGTCAACCAAGAAAAATAGTCTGCCCACCCCATCTAGTTCCCTCTAACAACCAGCACAAGTTGCTGGCGAACAATATTCTTCACAGAAATGCTTTACCTTGACTTGATAGACATTACTGAAGCCACTGAAGATGACAATGATAATTCGTCATCCATCCATCCATCCACATTCTACAACTTGTAAACCACCTGAGAGTTATCTCCCCTTACCTGCTCCCAGCACTGAGGCAGTAGTTCCGTCTCCAGTCGGGTCGGACCCACGTGTTGAGCAAATGCTATACACCCTGTCAGGATGATTTGTCTGAAAAGTGAACATCTCACAATTACCTCTGATCTATTCTGATCAATCAGACCATGGGTGGACTACAGCATTAACGATCCAAGTTGTCAGGGAACGAGGGCAGATTGGTCATTCTCAATCACTTACTTGCAAAATGTACCCTGGGTACAAAACGAAGCATTGAGTCATACCAAGATATTTTCACTGGAAGATATTTTTGTACCATGACAATTTCTAAGTGTACCCAAAATTGGAAATCTCAAAATTGTCTATCTTACAGAAGTAAGCCCTTGTGGATTTTTCAGCATTCAATAACATCACATCATGAACTTACAACAGTTATTCCAACTCTTTCTGTTCTGGCAAAACCAAAAGGTACAAGATATTGTCAAACGGCCAAGTGCAAGCAGTTATCTCCCCTGATGCTGTACAGTGGGTTGACATAATAAACAGGTGAGGTGAAATTGGGTTTTACGTCGTGCTTGAGAATATTTCGCTCATATGACGCGTTCATGCGATGTATGTGTATGTGCGGCTGCTCGTACTAGTCCAGACTTAAGCTGGTTTTATAGTGCTAGCCCACTGACATACCATGCCGCAGTGAAGCATGAATACCCCACTCAGACACATTATACTGACTCCGAGCCGACCAGTCCTTGTTGTACCCATTAATGCCGGGCGCCAGGCAGGGACCAACAAGAACCATATTTTAACGTCTTTTTGGTAGGACACGGTCGGGGATCGAACCCACGACCTTCTGCTCTCCGGGCGGACGCTCTAACCACTACACCACGGAGGCGGTCACATAATAAACAGCTTTGTTCTACTGAATGAGAATTAAAATGAGAAGTACGACTAGATATACTCCAGGTACACAACATAACGGCGACCACCATCCAGGTACAGCTGGATACATTGTTTTACACCCTGAGTATATTTTGATAGTAAACCAACTATGAGTGGCCCATCAGCTGTAGAAGGGCTCATCAAGGTTACAGAACACCAAATCAGAATCTGTATTTTAACAAGTACTTTTCATCCTGAACATTCAGTGCAGATGAATTATCTGGCAGCTGTGATTGGGTGATTTTGTGTAAGATCTTTGTGTTTTGTAAAAGTACATCCATCCAGAAATTAAAACTGACCATATTTTTTAATATATACATGTAGTGCTCTCTTGTTTACATGATGACTTATACTGAATGTGACAACAGCCATTTTCAAGCAGTTGACATTTTGTGCGTAACTGGGGTGCCTGTACTCGGAAAAGGAGCTGCCTGAGGTGTTCATATTTTATATTTTTATTGTTTCTTTAAGGTCAGACTATGCACACATGTACATATAATAGCAGTTGATATCTTAGTTATTTTTATTACAAATATAAGGCTACTATAGAAGTCAATAGGAAAATATTTGGTTTTGTGTAACCTCAAACTTCATACTCAGCCAGTGTTACACTTTCATCCGTATTTTAATAGACTCTTTCAAGAAGTATGGGGCATGGAGGGTCAACCTCACTAAAACATCAACACACTCCTGCCATGAAAAATATGGCATGTACAGAATGACTTGTAACGTCAAGTAATGGTGGAATAGGTATTTATTATACCTTAAATATTATACAGAATAAGGTCACTGATAACATTGTGTAACTGTTCTATTGACCAACCTTTGTTCATCATCTGGCTTCTTGATGAGATTAAAGAGAATGTTTAGAAGTCTGTCTCTCTCCTTTGAGTCTGAATGTAACATGGCTGTGCACAAGATGAGGGGGATCAGTTCCTGCAACAGAAATTACAATAACAAACCTGGCGACAAGACAATACCCATGAGGGTATAAAGATGGAATGCAGTAACTTTCCCATATTTGTATACCTTAAGTCTGTATTCTCATTCTGACTGTAAATGACATAACAATGCATCATTATTGAGAACTCAGTATAACATCATCCATTGTTTGTGACGAAGCCTTAAACAAGTGAGTTTGTTCAAAATTGCTTCTGTTCACCCAGCAGAGTCATGATGATGCGGCAGCTTGGGTTATCCGGGGTAATAATGTACTGTGGTTTGATTGTTAGTGCTATGAGCATACCTAGTGTGGAGTTTGGCGCTATATAAATGGACACATTATTATTACATCAAAATTTGTTTACATTATGTCATCTTCACAATCGGTAGACTTCCAAGTTCCATCAGGAATCACATCATAACAACTTCTTTAATGTCTGACTAAAATACTTCTCTGCAGAAACCCTTGATTTGTTGTCACAAGAGCTGTCTAATCAGCCAATACAGGTAACTGTCACAGCTTGTAAATTCTTGCCACAAGCATTATTCCTGTATCTCCAAAATAAATGTGGAAAGAATAGAAAAAGCACTCACAGGTGAGCCTATTTTGGAGGATACTTATATACGTCCTATCGTTTTTAAGAGCCATGGCATCTAACAAGGTCTTGAACTAGTGTCACTACCCAAACTCCATGTCAGTCAAATGTTTACAAGCCATGGGAGTAGAAATATCTCTGTCTCACCTCTCGTTTGGCCAGGAGGACGTTGGGGACGATATGGGGGAGACATCGGCCCAACATGGACACAACTCCTTCCCCTTCACTCATCTTGGACATCTGTGTACAGACGACAGTGGAAAGGTAAACACAATACAGATACAGAATCTGACAGACATACTGGATAGTGAACCGGATGCAGAAACTACTGGAGATGTGGGATACAGATACAGAACCTGACAGATACTGAATAGTGAAACCAAAGGAGGAACCGGATGCAGAAACTACTGGAAATGTGGTATATAGAAACTACCCAAGATGTAGGATACCGAATCTGACAGACATACTGGATAATGAAACCAAAAGAGGCACTGGTTGCAGAAACTACTATTGGGCTGTGGGATACAGAAACTACCCAAGATGTAGGATAATGAAAATCTTGACAGATTTGATGGTAAAGGAGGAACGGGATACAGAAACTACCCAAGATGTAGAAATTGACAGAATATGATGCGGGGGACACCAGAACCCAAGATCGAACCGGGGATGAGCCAACGCTTTAACCACTAGGCTGCCCCAGAAACTACTGGAGATGTTGGATATAATAACTACCATAAATCAAGGACAGATATGTATTTGGTGATATTTACATGCACCTTTAGAATTCAAAAGTGCTTACAAGAGGATTGGTAAATAATTTGACATGTGTAAATGCTTGTATTAAAAGTCCTTCATTCTTGTAATTGATATTGTTACATTCAATGTAACTCAATGGTTCATAAGAATAAATGGAACAACCAAAACCCTGCCCCCAGGCTGCTAGTATAAATTTAATGGTTGTGACCAAGACCCATAAGTGGGGTAAATCTTGACAAAACAAGGTCTTTATAAAGCATGACAACTAGGAGTTCTAAGTGAGCGCAAAGTCACCCTGAACATCCTGGAACCATGCAACTACAATCATAACAATGTCTTTGGCCTCTACAAGCATGTGCAAACCCTGGTTACTCAACAGATCAATCAGTTTGTGAATTTCAGGTCAGGTTACCTCAGCAACAATCCTGTTATCCCTGGAAACATGGAAAGCCAGTTCCTGCAAAGCTTTTCTAAATGCTGCAGACATTTTCCTGCAAAACAAACACAGGAGTCAGCAGTGGAGATAATCAGGCATAATCACGGCTGCAACAACAAAAAGTCAACAGTTTGTTTCATGACAAAACACTTATGATCCATATTCACTAGGTCAGCAAACAATCTCATACTCTGCATGTACCGGAGTGGAGAACAGTGTTCATTCTAGCATTAATAAAAAGTTGGCCCATGGCCCACCGGCCCTCAGTTATGGGCCATTTAGAAAATAGTGTGGGTCATGTCAAATTGCTGTGACTTGTTAGACATACAGTACTAATTATCACCTGCAACAACGAAGTTGCGGGGGATATAGAAACGAGTTAGAAACGAGTTCCGTCCGTCCGTCCACACTTTGTCCGAAGCATATCTCCTAAACTATTCGTGATAGCTTAACCAAACTTGGTACACATCATGTGACATGTCAACCATGATCCCTAGATGTGCCTTTTGGGGGTTAGACCCAGATGTGAATTGTATTTTTTGCGGTTTCCATAAAAACGTGACTTAGGCTGTGACTATGAGGATGTCATGTTGTCCAGAGCAGATCTCCTAAATTCTACATGCTACCTTCATCAAACTTGGTACACATATCAAGCATGATCCCTAGATATGCATTTTGGGGGTTAGACCCAGATATGAATTTATTTTTTGTGGTTTCCATGGAAACATGACTTAGGCTGTGACTATGAACTGAATTTGGTGGTAGTGCTCCTTTCTGGAGCAGATCTTAAATACCTTTAAATACTCTCCTTCCACGTTGCTGTATACACTCCAAAACATTTGACATACTCCGAAAGAGTATTTTGCCATTGCGGGGGATATTGATGACTTTGTCATCTTGTTAGTTACTAATTTGAGTTCACTTACTGGTCCGATAATTGTCTGTGCCATTCCCTGTAAACACATTATTTTTGTAATGGGTAATACACACCGTATATCCCATGCGATTTGCCTCTTTGTCGAACCCATGGGTAAAGCTGCAAACACGTATTTTGAAAAACACGTGGACATGATACATCGTCCTGGCATTTCTCCTCAGACCTATCCTCATTTCAGTTATCATCGTCGTGGTTGGTTGTGCTTTCTGTATCGTCATCATGACAAGGTTTTTACTTTTTCGCAAAAAAAGAAAGAATTTTCGATTGACGTCGGCGTTTGACAACCAGTGTGTCCCCCATGGCAACAAAAGTATAAAACTGCTACATGCAACGAGATTGGATCACTCAAAGAAACCGACCAATCGGAATCAGTTTTATAAAAGGGTCAGATTTTCTCATAACACTGATTTGTAGGCTTCGCACTGTCGGTTTGAAACAGCTTGAAAGTGATGTGCAGAGTTCTTGGCATTCAAAACAATAACAGCTCACTTCAGTGAGAGAAGGTAGCGCATTTTGTTACAGTTAAACTAAGCCTGTGTTTTGAATTTCACTTGAGTTGACGCTTGAAAACAAACTCGTAATGCATTTCAGATTTATGTATAATATCTCGAGTGCGCCAACACGGCCCGCCAGTATTTTTAAATTGCGCCATATGAACTTTCAGTGCACGAATGGCGTAAGGGCGCGCCCTAGACTGAACACTGGGAGAACATTGATCTGCAGTTTGATCTGGTGTTTGTTTGGCCCAGTTTGAAAGGCATGAGTGGATGGCAAGTAAAAAAATAGATTGCACAAGAATACTGATGGTCCATCTTAACAAGGTCCACAAACAACCTCACACTCTGCAGATATTGGAGAGAGGAACTTTCATTTGCAGTTGACTGGTGTTTGTTTGACCGATTATGTAAGGCATGAATTGATTTGACAATTTCATATTGCAAAGTCGGTTGGCAAGTCTAGTTGATGCAAATTTGGTATGAAATCAGTTCCAGGTCTTGTAGAATATGAATAAGGACATCAAATACAAGGAATGGAACACAGAACATATTGAGTCATTTTTTAAGTCATTTATGAAGAAAAGTTATCCAGTGGCCTGGGAACTAAAGGATTTATGCTTATATTGTAACTACATGCATCCCCAAAGTCGACCCTTATGTAATGAAAGCCATGGAATTCCACAGAAACTTCTGCCCCCCACATAGGTAGAGAACCCAATGCAATGACCCCTTCAGTTTACTAAGCTGTTCCTTACCTGTCTGTCACTTTCTCTGCGACGGTAGCATCTCCTTCTACAGACAAACCATCCCCATCGACACGATCACAGTAGGCGACACAGTTATCTCCCCCTGAATGCCCATCAGCTTCATCTCCTATATGGTTCTGGGTTATGGCAGGTGCCTCGAGATTCAGAGAGTCTGACTGGCCAGACGTATCCTCCACACTAGGATCTGTGTTTGGCTGTGATTCTTCATGGCTGTCACTGACTGGCTGGCCATTATGTGTCGAGGAACTGGTCACGGCAGGCTCAACCTTGTGAGCTACAGGTGTGGAGTGATTCATCGGAGTGTTCTTTAGAGGTGACCTGACAGAGAATTGAAAAATGAGTGAATAAACTGAATGTGTTTTGATAAACATATTACTGCCTTAGAATAACCATTTTCAAACATGCAAAACAGTGGCACAAAACTGAATGAATGGACCTTACCAAATTTGTTGGACACTCAAATAGGACAAGCATGTCCGAAGTAATACTCCAGTTGGTGCCTCTCAATATAGCTGTTTCTGACAAGCCAAGCATCTTTTATACAATACATAGCAAAGAATATTTCAGTAAGTGAATGGGTAGGTGAGTTAGTGGGTAAGTGAGTGAATGAGTGGGTGGGAGGGTGTATGGGTGAGTGAGTGAATAAGTGGATGGGAGGGTGGGTGTATGGGTGAGTGAGTGAATGAGTGAGTGGTTGAGTAGGTGAGGTGAGGTGAGGTGAGGTGAAATTGGGTTTAACGTCGTGCTTGAGAATATTTCGCTCATATGACGACGTGCATGCATGTGTATGTGTATGTGCGGCTGCTTGTACTAGCCCAGACTGAAGCTGGTTTTATAGTGCTAGCCCACTGAGATACCATGCCGCAGTGAAGCATGAATACCCCACTCAGACACATTATACTGACTCCAAGCCGACCAGTCCTTGTTGTACCCATTAATGCCGAGAGCCAGGCAGGGACCAACAAATACAAATCCCCGTCTTTTTGGTATGGCGAGTCGGGGTTGGTAGGACACTGTAACCACTACACCACGGAGACGGTGAGTGAGTGAGTGAGTGAGTGAGTGAGTGAGTGAGTGAGTGAGTGAGTGAGTGAGTGAGTGAGTGAGTGAGTGAAGTATTCCAGTTATATCATGGCCCATCAACTACATGAATGAGGACAGCACATAGTTCACCACTTTTTGTGAATACAAGATCACTGGAATGGGGGTGACAAACCTGGATTCGAGCAGGTTCCTGACGTGCCCAAGGGACACAACTCTGCACAGTGAATAGTGACAATATGTAAACAAGTAGGAAGCTGTGGGAGCAACTTACATCTTGAGTATACTGACTTGCTGGGACAGAACATCGTTCTCTTGTGCAATCATCTGGACTTGGTCCTCAAGCTCTGAGATCTTGCTCTCCTGAACAAAATTAACATACAATTCATAAAATACATTTTGGTTTTACAATATGTCATGCAGGGAAGCATAAACCTGATATCATCCTCTAGTCACAAATCAAGGCACAATATCATTTTGTTTTCACAACCAAGTGAATTAATCAGGTTGCACCATCAAAATATTGCCTACACCATGTTTTCAACAATCCTATTGCTGTCACTGACAGCAGAAGATTTTGTATCAACAGAGTGAGGGATATTCATGGTCAATTCACTATCATCAGACAGTTTCACATTACTCATGTGTTGAGAATGTTTGAGGGATTGTTGATTTCTAACTGACATTTTCATACATAAATTTGATTTATTTTCTGTTACAAGTGATGAAATACATAGTGAACTCTGACCTTCCATGAAATGTCACAAGATTGTGAACACATTGTGTGGCCTACACAACTGATTTATGAGCATGAAAACAGACTTGTTTTCATTTTTGGCCTCCAGTAATTGATTCACCTAATACACATGATAGGAGAAGACTTATTTAATACAGGAACACTGACCCCTAAGAGTCCCTGATGTGCCATCCAACAATCAAAGATCCCCCAAGTTACAACCCACAAACAACATTTCCATCATAAAATGCCCAATGTCCTCTGTTTCGGTGACACTATTATAATCCCTTATAATCCCCTTAACCTTCCCTGCTGTGTCCCCTAATCATTGTCGATGTCCACCATAACAAAGCCCAATGTTCCCCCAAATCACCTCCTTATTTCCCCAACAATCCTGATGCTCACTATCCATTCCCAGATTAGCTGCTAGTCATGCTGCCCTGCCCAACCCCCCGAAAACAATCCCTGACGTCCCCAACAACAATCCCTGATGTCCCCAACAACAAACCCTGATGTCCCCAACAACCATCCCTGACATCCCCAACAACCACCCCTGATGTCATCAACAACAATCCCTGATGTCCACAACAACCATCCCTGATGTCCCACAACAACCATCCCTGATGTCCACAACAACCATCCCTGACATCCCCAACAACCATCCCTGATGTCCCCAACAACCATTCCTGATGTCCACAACAACAATCCCTGATGTCCACAACAACCATTCCTGATGTCCACAACAACCATTCCTGATGTCCCCAACAACCATCCCTGACATCCCCAACAACCACCCCTGATGTCCCCAACAACCATCCCTGACAACCCCAACAAACATCCCTGACATCCCAAACAGCCACCCCCGATGTTCACAACAACCATTCCCGATGTTCACAACAACAATCCCTGACATCCCCAACAACCATCCCCTGATGTCCACAACAACCATCCCTGACATCCCCAACAACCATCCCTGATGTCATCAACAACAATCCCTGATGTCCCCAACAACAATCCCTGATGTCCCCAACAACCATCCCTGACATCCCCAACAACCATCCCTGACATCCCCAACAACCATCCCTGATGTCCCCAACAACCATCCCCGATGTCCACAACAACCATTCCTGATGTCCACAACAACCATTCCTGATGTTCACAACAACCATCCCTGACATCCCAAACAACCACTCCCGATGTTCACAACAATCCCCGATGTCCACAACAACCATCCCTGACATCCCCAACAACCACCCCTGACATCCCCAACAACCATCCCTGATGTCCCCAACAACCATCCCTGACATCCCCAACAACCATCCCTGACATCCCAAACAACCATCCCTGATGTTCACAACAACAATCCCCTGATGTCCCCAACAACCACCACCCCTGACATCCCCAACAACCATCCCCTGACATCCCCAACAACCACCCCTGATGTCCCCAACAACCACCCCTGATGTCCCCAACAACCACCCCTGATGTCCACAACAACCATTCCTGATGTTCACAACAACCATCCCTGATGTCCCCAACAACCATCCCTGATGTCCCCAACAACCATCCCTGACATCCCCAACAACCATCCCTGACATCCCAAACAGCCACCCCCGATGTCCACAACAACCATCCCCGATGTCCACAACAACCATCCCCGATGTTCACAACAACCATCCCTGATGTCCACAACAACCATCCCTGATGTTCACAACAACCACCTCTGATGTCCACAACAACCATCCCTGATGTCCACAACAACCATCCCTGATGTTCACAACAACCATCCCTGATGTTCACAACAACCATCCCTGATGTCCACAACAACCATCCCTGATGTTCACAACAACCACCCCTGATGTCCACAACAACCATCCCTGATGTTCACAACAACCACCCCCGATGTTCACAACAACAATCCCTGATGTCCACAACAACCATCCCCGATGTTCACAACAACCATCCCTGATGTCCACAACAACTATCCCTGATGTTCACAACAACCATCCCTGATGTTCACAACAACCACCCCTGATGTCCACAACAACCATCCCTGATGTTCACAACAACCACCCCTGATGTTCACAACAACAATCCCTGATGTCCACAACAACCATCCCCGATGTTCACAACAACCATCCCTGATGTCCACAACAACCATCCCTGATGTTCACAACAACCATCCCTGATGTCCACAACAACCATCCCTGATGTTCACAACAACCATCCCTGATGTCCACAACAACAATCCCTGATGTCCACAACAACCATCCCCGATGTTCACAACAACCATCCCTGATGTCCACAACAACCACCTGATGTTCACAACAACCATCCCTGATGTTCACAACAACCACCCCTGATGTTCACAACAACAATCCCTGATGTCCACAATAACCATCCCCGATGTTCACAACAACCACCCCTGATGTCCACAACAACCATCCCTGATGTTCACAACAACCACCCCCGATGTTCACAACAACAATCCCTGATGTCCACAACAACAATCCTTGATGTTCACAACAACAATCCCTGATGTCCACAACAACCATCCCTGATGTTCACAACAACCACCCCCGATGTCCACAACAACAATCCCTGATGTCCACAACAACAATCCCTGATGTCCACAACAACCATCCCTGATGTTCACAACAACCACCCCCGATGTTCACAACAACCATCCCTGATGTCCACAACAACCATCCCCGATGTTCACAACAACCATCCCTGATGTCCACAACAACCATCCCTGATGTTCACAACAACCATCCCTGATGTTCACAACAACCATCCCTGATGTTCACAACAACCATCCCCGATGTCCACAACAACCATCCTCGATGTTCACAACAACCATCCCTGATGTTCACAACAACAATCCCTGATGTTCACAACAACAATCCCTGATGTCCACAACAACCACCCCTGATGTTCACAACAACAATCCCTGATGTCCACAACAACAATCCCTGATGTTCACAACAACAACCCCCGATCTTCACAACAACAATCCCCGATGTCCACAACAACCATCCCCGATGTTCACAACAACAATCCCTGATGTTAACAACAACCATCCCTGATGTCCACAACAACCATCCCTGATGTTCACAACAACAATCCCTGATGTTCACAACAACAATCCCCGATGTCCACAACAACAATCCCTGATGTTCACAACAACAACCCCCGATGTTCACAACAACAATCCCCGATGTCCACAACAACCATCCCCGATGTTCACAACAACCACCCCCGATGTTCACAACAACCACCCCCGATGTTCACAACAACCATCCCCGATGTTCACAACAACCACCCCCGATGTCCACAACAACCATCCCCGATGTCCACAACAACCACCCCCGATGTTCACAACAACCACCCCTGATGTCCACAACAACAATCCCTGATGTTCACAACAACAACCCCCGATGTTCACAACAACCATCCCCGATGTTCACAACAACCACCCCTGATGTTCACAACAACAACCCCCGATGTTCACAACAACCACCCCTGACATCCCCAACAACCACCCCTGATGTCCCCAACAACCACCCCTGATGTCCCCAACAACCACCCCTGATGTCCACAACAACCATTCCTGATGTTCACAACAACCATCCCTGATGTCCCCAACAACCATCCCTGATGTCCACAACAACCATCCCTGACATCCCCAACAACCATCCCTGACATCCCAAACAGCCACCCCCGATGTCCACAACAACCATCCCCGATGTCCACAACAACCATCCCCGATGTTCACAACAACCATCCCTGATGTCCACAACAACCATCCCTGATGTTCACAACAACCACCTCTGATGTCCACAACAGCCATCCCTGATGTCCACAACAACCATCCCCGATGTTCACAACAACCATCCCTGATGTTCACAACAACCATCCCCGATGTCCACAACAACCATCCCCGATGTTCACAACAACCACCCCTGATGTCCACAACAACCATCCCTGATGTTCACAACAACCACCCCGATGTCCACAACAACAATCCCCTGATGTCCCACAACAACCACCCCCCGATGTTCACAACAACCATCCCTGATGTCCACAACAACCACCCCTGATGTTCACAACAACCATCCCTGATGTTCACAACAACCACCCCTGATGTCCACAACAACCATCCCTGATGTTCACAACAACCACCCCTGATGTCACAACAACAATCCCTGATGTCCACAACAACCATCCCGATGTTCACAACAACCATCCCTGATGTCCACAACAACCACCCCTGATGTTCACAACAACCATCCCTGATGTTCACAACAACCACCCCTGATGTTCACAACAACAATCCCCAATGTCCACAACAACCATCCCCGATGTTCACAACAACCACCCTGATGTCCACAACAACCATCCCTGATGTTCACAACAACCACCCCGATGTTCACAACAACAATCCTGATGTCCCACAACAACCATCCCCGATGTTCAACAACAACCATCCCTGATGTCCACAACAACCACCCCTGATGTTCACAACAACCATCCCTGATGTTCACAACAACCATCCCTGATGTTCACAACAACCATCCCCGATGTCGACAACAACCATCCTCGATGTTCACAACAACCACCCCTGATGTTCACAACAACAATCCCTGATGTTCACAACAACCACCCACGATGTTCACAACAACCACCCCGATGTTCACTGGCAACCATCCCTGATGTCACAACAACCACCCTGATGTTCACAACAACCATCCTGATGTTCACAACAACCACCCTGATGTTCACAACAGCAATCCCCAATGTCCACAACAACCATCCCGATGTTCACAACAACCACCCTGATGTCCACAACAACCATCCTGATGTTCACAACAACCACCCCCGATGTTCACAACAACAATCCCTGATGTCACAACAACCATCCCGATGTTCACAACAACCATCCTGATGTCACAACAACCACCCTGATGTTCACAACAACCATCCCTGATGTTCACAACAACCACCCTGATGTCACAACAACCATCCCTGATGTTCACAACAACCACCCCTGATGTCACAACAACAATCCCTGATGTCCACAACAACCATCCCCGATGTTCACAACAACCATCCCTGATGTCCACAACAACCACCCCTGATGTTCACAACAACCATCCCTGATGTTCACAACAACCACCCCTGATGTTCACAACAACAATCCCCAATGTCCACAACAACCATCCCCGATGTTCACAACAACCACCCCTGATGTCCACAACAACCATCCCTGATGTTCACAACAACCACCCCCGATGTTCACAACAACAATCCCTGATGTCCACAACAACCATCCCCGATGTTCACAACAACCATCCCTGATGTCCACAACAACCACCCCTGATGTTCACAACAACCATCCCTGATGTTCACAACAACCATCCCTGATGTTCACAACAACCATCCCCGATGTCGACAACAACCATCCTCGATGTTCACAACAACCACCCCTGATGTTCACAACAACAATCCCTGATGTTCACAACAACCACCCACGATGTTCACAACAACCACCCCCGATGTTCACAACAACCATCCCTGATGTCCACAACAACCACCCCTGATGTTCACAACAACAATCCCTGATGTCCACAACAACAATCCCTGATGTTCACAACAACAACCCCCGATCTTCACAACAACAATCCCCGATGTCCACAACAACCATCCCCGATGTTCACAACAACAATCCCTGATGTTCACAACAACCATCCCTGATGTCCACAACAACAATCCCTGATGTTCACAACAACAATCCCTGATGTTCACAACAACAATCCCCGATGTCCACAACAATCCCTGATGTTCACAACAACAACCCCCGACGTTCACAACAACAATCCCCGATGTTCACAACAACAATCCCCGATGTTCACAACAACAATCCCCGATGTTCACAACAACCATCCCCGATGTCCACAACAACCACCCCCGATGTTCACAACAACCACCCCTGATGTCCACAACAACAATCCCTGATGTTCACAACAACCACCCCTGATGTCCACAACAACAATCCCCGATGTTCACAACAACAATCCCCGATGTCCACAACAACCATCCCCGATGTTCACAACAATCCCCGATGTCCACAACAACCATCCCTGATGTTCACAACAACAATCCCTGATGTTCACAACAACCATCCCTGATGTTCACAACAACCATCCCCGGTGTTCACAACAACCATCCCTGATGTTCACAACAACAATCCTTGATGTTCACAACAACCATCCCCGATGTTCACAACAACCATCCCCGATGATGTTCACAACAACAATCCCTGATGTTCACAACAACAATCCCTGATGTTCACAACAACAATCCCTGATGTTCACAACAACCATCCCCGATGTTCACAACAACCATCCCTGATGTTCACAACAACCGCCCCTGAAGTCCACAACAACCATCCCTGATGTCCACAACAACCATCCCCGATGTTCACAACAATCCCTGATGTCCACAACAACAATCCCTGAAGTCCACAACAACCATCCCTGATGTCCACAACAACCATCCCCGATGTTCACAACAATCCCTGATGTTCACAACAACCATCCCCGATGTTCACAACAACAATCCCTGACATCCCCAACAACCACCCCTGACATCCCTAACAACCATCCCTGATATCCCCAACAACCATCCCTGATGTTCACAACAACAATCCCTGACATCCCTAACAACAATCCCTGACATCCACAACAACCATCCCTGACATCCCCAACAACCATCCCCGATGTCCACAACAACCATCCCTGACATCCCCAACAACCATCCCCGATGTCCCCAACAACCATCCCTGATGCTCACAACAATCCCTGACATCCCTAACAACAATCCCTGACATCCCCAACAACCATCCCCGATGTCCACAACAACAATCCCTGACATCTCCAACAACCATCTCCGATGTCCACAACAACCATCCCTGATGTCCACAACAACCATCCCTGATGTCCACAACAACCATCTCCGATGTCCACAACAACCATCCCTGATGTCCACAACAACCATCCCTGATGTCCACAACAACCATCCCTGATGTCCACAACAACCATCCCTGATGTCCACAACAACCATCCCTGATGTTCACAACAACAATCCCTGACATCCCTAACAACAATCCCTGACATCCCCATCAACCATCTCCGATGTCCACAACAACCATCCCTGACATCCCCAACAACCATCCCCGATGTCCACAACAACCATCCCTGACATCCCCAACAACCATCCCCGATGTCCCCAACAACCATCCCTGATGCTCACAACAACAATCCCTGACATCCCTAACAACAATCCCTGACATCTCCAACAACCATCCCTGATGTCCACAACAACCATCCCTGACATCCCTAACAACCATCCCTGATGTTCACAACAACAATCCCTGACATCCCCAACAACCATCCCCGATGTCCACAACAACCATCCCTGACATCCCCAACAACCATCCCCAATGTCCACAACAATCCCTGACATCCCCAACAACAATCCCTGATGTCCACAAGAACCATCCCTGACATCCCCAACAACCATCCCCAATGTCCACAACAACAATCCCTGACATCCCCAACAACCATCCCCGATGTTCACAACAACCATCCCTGATGTCCACAACAACCATCCCCGATGTCCACAACAACCATCCCTGATGTCCCCAACAACCATCCCTGATGTCCACAACAACCATCCCTGATGTCCACAACAACCATCCCTGATGTCCCCAACAACCATCCCCAATGTCCACAACAACAATCCCTGACATCATCAACAACCATCCCCAACAACAATCCCCGATATCCACAACAACAATCCCTGACATCCCCAACAACAATCCCCGATGTTCACAACAACAATCCCTGACATCCCCAACAAGCATCCCCAATGTCCACAACAACAATCCCTGACATCCCCAACAACCATCCCTGATGTTCACAACAACCATCCCCGATGTCCACAACAACAATCCCTGCTTCTCACCATTTGTTCTCGGATCAGCTGCCAGTCCTGCTGCCGCTCCTGGAAGTCTTCATCCTCCAAGTCCGCCTCACAGGCCACTTCCTGTGTCTCCTTGGTTGGCATGATATGGTTGCCATAGTCACGGAATAATCGCAGGAGATCTGGAGGCCGTGGTATGTTCAGTCCCACGTCATCCCAGTCCTCAAAGTCCTGATACACATGGAAAACTGGTTCATATTTGAGGGGCAGGCAGTCTGTGACATTTGCACTAGTCTACTAGCCCAAGACTACTAAGTTGTGTATACATATAAATCTGAAGATGGTAGTCCTCATATTCAGCAGCATTTGAGGGCTATAATTTTGAAGTGGTTTTTCAATTTTTTTCTGGAGCCAAATATAACTGAGAGAAAACTGCTTATTCAATCAGGACTTACTATAAACGTTTAGCACTAGTGAATATGATTTCTTCTGGACTAGTCAAGAAAATAATAGCTAAAGCTGGCATAAACAGGTAAGAGCGAATATGTTATACCATGTGGTTACCAATGTTCATGAAGATACACTAATATATAAATCAGCGGATATATTTAAACACAAGTCATGTGATCAATCTGTTTACCATACATACCAACCTTCCCTGAACACCACGACTGCTACAGTTATCTTTACACCACACAGTTTTGTGAACACCATACACTCAGGACCACCCTGACTTACTTGCTCCTCATTCTCTTCTGAGAATGTGACTGAGGTGATCTTGTTGTCATTGAGCAAGAGGTACTCGTTCACTAGGAAGTTGAGTGCTCGCTGTTCGAGAGGCTTGATGTTGTCCTCAACACTAACGCCACCTGCAAGATTCTTCTCTGTGTCAGGGGACACAATCTCATTTTCTGAAACCAGGCAACACAATCATCTTTACCAATATCAAATAACGATATGAAAAAGATCATATTCAATATGATAAAAAAAATTGTCCAAAATTTAGAACATCCTAGAGAAGAAATGTAACTGTATTTGATGCTTGATGATGAGAGTAAAATTCTCATTAGAGTAAGAAATCTGACAGTTAATGGCTAAACTGTCTAGATATACAAGAAGAAAAAAGCATGGCAATGTAATTATTTCAGCTATTATCAAACTATTTCTCTTGACAACAACAAAAACTGCATACATATGAAAACTCAGTTCATTGTCTTGGATGAATACCTCAAAGGCTCCCTCTGGAGTGAGTGAGTTTAGTTTTACGTCACACTCAGCAATATTCCAGCTATATGACAGCGGTCTGTAAATAATCAAGTCTCCACCAGACAATCCAGTGATCAACAGCATGAGCATCTATCTATGCAATTGGGATACCATGACATGTGTCAACCAAGTCGGTGAGCCTGACCACCCGATCCCGTTAGTCGCCTCTTAGACAACCTACTCATGGAAGAAGACTGGATTAAACTGGTTCAGGTGAAAGGTTAAGTTTGTGAATGCAGCTTCTACATACCTGCTTCCCTTGTTAGAGTAGCTCGTAAAGATTTTATTGTCTCCTGTGCCTTTCGTAATTCAAATTCTAAAACTGAAAGAGACAAGATAGGTCCATATTAGTAGTTATAGTAGCTGACTTGCCAGATAATTCATGCATTTATTTGTCAGTATTGGTAAAAAGAATATATGGAAACAACTATAAATTCCAATAGTGTTGTGCTGCAAAGATGGAGTCATAATCAAGGCAATTTTGTGATTCAACCCAATGATCAGGAGATCCTGTTACAATTGAGGCACAAAACTCAATTACATAGTCAGTTGCACTGAATTTGATCATTTCCGTAATCATGAATCTGCACTTACACACCTATATGCAAGATAATTTATAAACTGAATTCAATGTTAGAAAGGTATAATGAACCAGTTTCTTCACTCCTCCGTTGTACTATATTTCTACATAACATACCAGCAACTCTCTCATCAACTTGTCTTTCCCCATCATCAGAATAGCGGGCAAAGTCCAGGGAATCAAAGGTCTGTACACTTGAAGTCCGAGCTGAAACATACAAGTATCAGAACATGGTTGTTATGTAGCAAGACCTCTACATCAGGGTTCACTTACGCCAGTGTATCTACACAATGTACACTATCTATTGTAAATATCTAATGGTTGGTAGATTTGAGACGTGTCACTGCTGATGAGTACTGTTTCATTCTACCCAATAATCAAATTTGTTTTCTAATCTTTTCCTTTTTCCAACATACCCAGTAGAGGTGTGATGATACAGAAATTTCACGATATGATACGTATCGCGATATCTTGGAACGATACGATGCGTATCACGATATGCTATCTTTAGTTATTTTCTTTAAAAAAGTGTATTTTGATAACAAGTAACAGTGTAAATTTTCACATAACCGTCAATTTCTAGAGAAGATTCACAATTTTTAGGTCAACGATACACATCACGATACGAAAAATGGTATCGATATATGTATTGTCAGAAAAGGTATCATGGTTATCGATACTACGATATATTGTCACAGCTCTAATACCCAGTACCTGCATCATATGACACTAAATGCAGTCTTGGGTACTTGAATGAATGAGTTAAGAGTTAACATGAGAGATTACTTGATGTGAGGTAGACAAAGGACAATAAAGGACAATTTTGAAGGATTATTGTTTTCTCCATCAGAACTTCTGGTCCCAAATATGCAGAGGTCAAATTGAATTAATGTCTGGTGTATACCCCTGTAAAACACTGATAGGCATATCAAAGGCATCAAAACAAATCAAATGACAGATAGTCACAGATTGCTTTAACATAAAATTCTCAACACTTGTAACATTGAATTTGTGAAGTGAGATTATTAGGTAAGAATGTTTCCACACCCCGAAAATTACTATGCACAAAATTACATTCACCTGAAGTTAAAATCAACAATGGAATAAAAAGTTTGTTTCATGCATTAGGAGTGAAAAATATGGGAGTCACCAAAATATTTGACAGAGGTCAATCAGCATCACAGATCACCACTGTTGCAAGGCAGAAATGTTTGTGTATAACATTGACAAAAAGAATTTATCATCATACAAAGACAACTACCATACGGTGAAATGGGGTTTAACATCATACTTAAGAATATTTCGCTCATATGACAAAGTGCATGTGTGTGTATGTGTGGCAACTTCTACTAGCCCAGACTTAATAGTGCTAGCTCACTGAGATGCGATGCTGCAGTTAAGCATGAATAACCCACTCGGTCACATTATACTGGTTTAAACATATTTATTTCCAAAAGAGGAACCGGATTGGTAAACAAGCAGTATGTTGCTTATCTGAATACCGCTCCGGAATACAGATATATTATAGACGGAGGAGAAAAGCATGATATTAACAAACAGTAGCTTTCTGAAAATGTAGCAATCAAAAACTGTAATATAGCCACTTATAACATTAGAACCATTAGTGTCGGAAAATACTTAGTAGTAAGTGCAATTTCGTTTTTACTATTACAACACAAATCTGCCTGACAGTACAATGAAAGAATGGATAGATTCTAATAATTCAAGATTACCTTTAGTAGATCCATTAGAGTGGCTGTATAGTATTGATTTGATGTCATATGCTTTAGTATAGAAGTGCATTTTATGTCTTATGTCAGAGTAATTAATGCACAAAAAGAAATAGTGAATTGGATCTTCGTAACAGTAGCCACAAGAACAAGAGGGATTTGAAGATATAAATCGTTGATATTTATGTGCGCTTAAATCGCTGCAACCGAGCCTGAGGCGTGAATGGATAATCTGACAGAATCTTGATCCAGATTTTAAATTGAAGTAGTTTTGACTATTCTTGTTTGACACAGTAATCTGTTTCTTAAAACTACCCAAAGTAGCCGATTCTTTATAATCGGTAGACAAAGAATTCCACAATCTTACTGTATCTGGGAGAAATGATTTGGCATAATTTGCACTTTTACTATCGATAGTTTGGAGCTTCAAACGGTCTTGGAAACTGTAGTTTGTAGTGTCAGATACCTTGGGAGGGACGAGATTGCTCAAATATTTTGGAGTTAAATTATTAACCATTTTATAGAAAAATGTTAGTTTTGGATGTGTGTTCAATTACATAGTGGTTGGAAATTTGTCTCATCATATATTTTGTTATGACTCGTACCGTGAACAGCACTGCAAATAGTTCTAAGTGCATCAAGATTAAGTTTTTCCAGTGTTAGTGCTTGCTGTTTGGTACAATTGTCCCAGATGTGACAACAATAGTCGAAAATAGGCAAAATAAATTGTTTGTACATTGTTTGTAAATGTTACATGAGAGACGATATTTAAAACTTCTAAGACAGTTTACCATGGGTGCAAACTTTTGGTGATACCGTTAACATGGATAGTCCAGGAGCAATCGTGCTGTAAAATAAGTCCCAAATGTTTATGGCTATTAACGTCATTAATATTATTATCCTTCATTGTTAAGTTTCGTCTTGGGCTGGGCTGTACTTTACGAGAGAATTGTATAGAATCTGTTTTATTAGGATTAAATGTAACTTGCCATCCCAATCAGAAATTTTATGTAGATCATTATTAAGAGACAGAGCAGTTTCATCAGGATCATCTATTATAGCATGAAGTGATGTGTCATCTGCGAAGAGACGGATATTGCTGTTAATTCCTTCAACGATGTCAATGATATAAACTATAAACGATAGGGGTCCTAAGACAGAGCCTTGGGGAACCCCATCTAAGATTGATCTTTCATCAGACGTGTAACCATTTATAACAACTCGCTGAACTCTATTGTCCAGATAACTCTGAAACCATTTCAACAAGTTACCCCCGATACCATAACTTCTTAGCTTATGTATAATACCTTTATGCCAGACCTTACTTACATCACAAAATACAGCCCTAATTTCCTTACCGCTATCTAATGCACCTGCTATAAAGTCATACAGGTACGTTAATTGATTTACTGTTGAATCGCCTCTCATGAAATCGGATTGTAAGTTTGTAAGTATTTCATTATCCCTAAAATGATTAAATACATGTTTAAAAATGCATTTTTCGAAAATCTTTGCTACACAGCTTGTTAGTGCGACTGGTCGATAGTTAGAGCATTCATTTGTACTGCCTTTTTTGTGTATAGGAACAACTGATGCCTCCTTCCAGATATCAGGAAACACGTTATTCTTTAATGATAAACTAAAAACTTCAGATAAGGGAACTGCTAATTGTCTTGCATTCATTTTCAGAAGTTTATTGCCAATACCATCTGGGCCTGTTGCTTTAGTGATATCAACAGAGAAGAGAATATCATGGATTTCTTGCGGACTAAGTGTTAAGCCACATAATGGGTTATGCACCTCTGAACGAATTTCAGGAATATCCCTATTAGGAGCAGCTACTCTTGCCTGATCTGCAAAGAAATCATTCATAATGTTTGCTGTTTCAGCACTATCATCATATAGTTTATCGTTATGGATTATCGAAGGAAAAGTATTAATATTGGTGGTGTGTTTACTTTTTATATAATTCTTAACTAAATGCCACCATGTTTTTGTACCGTGTTCATTGTTTATTTGTTCATCAATTTTATTCATGTACATCTTCTTTGCAGTTCTTACCGCGAATATAACTTTATTTCTGCTCAATCTAAAACGTGCCCAGTTGGATGATGAGTTGCACCTTTTTGCGATTTTATGATGGCGATTGCGTTTACGATAATGACTTTTAAAACAGCTGGTACACTTCCATTTTCCACCAAAGTAGAAAAACTCACATGCCTAGAAGGTAGAGCTCTCCGAGACACGTCCGACAGCCATCGTAACGTCATAATTTACATTATACAGACCCCGAAGCGACCAGTCCTTGTTGTACCCATTAATGCCGTGCGCCAGGCAGGGGCCAACAAGTACCATATTTTAAAGTCTTTTAGTATGATACGGCCGGGGATCGAAACATGTGACCTTCCACTCTCTGGGTGGATGCTCTAACTACTACACCACAGAGACGGTTCAACTACCATACGTAATGTCTTAGTTACTGGTAATTACATGATCAAAAGCTGGTGAAATGGTAAATTAACATGACATTAGCCCTTATCCCACCAAGCTTTCTTCATATCCATTACCGCCAACTCTCTTATCCCAAGGCCTACCTATGGGATCACATCTCTCCCCCATCATCAGCGAGATCTACATGACAGAACTCGAAGACAAGGCCCTCCTCACCTCACTCGTCACACCAACATGCTGTTTCCGGAAAGTAGACGACACTGAAAGACCCCACCACCTTGCTTCAACGAGACCACAAAACCCTCCTGTAAGAACCTAGGGACAAAATGAGATAGGTTCGTCTCTACACAAGCAGCTCACAGTTCCCCATCCTAGACCACCCTACGCCCGAGCCACCATCAAGGTCCACAAAGACCCCCATCAAAGCCTGTTTCCTTGTCTGTTCCAGAAACACAGTCCATTACAATACCACCAAGCATCTCGACCGCCTTCTCGACCCTCTAGGTAAATTAGCTAAATCTCGGACTCCAATGAATTCTGCAACAAGATCAGCACCATCACCCAGCTAGGCAAAATAATCAGTTATCATGTGGTTGATCTATTCACCACTGTACCAAGAGACGAAGCCCTAGCCATCATTAGAAGAAAAGTTGAAGACATCCGCGCTAAACCTAAACACCCATCTCACAGTAGAAAGCATCATCCACCTCACCCATTCCTGTATAAGTTCAACACACTTCACCCGGTCTGATAAAATCTACCAACAAACCCATGGTCTACCTATGGGATCATCTCTCTCCCCCATCATCACCGAGTCTACATGACAGAACCCGAAGACAAGACCCTCCTCACCTTACCCGTCACACCAATATGCTGGTTCCGGAAAGAAGACGACACTTTTGTCATAATCAACCCCACCAATGATCCCATCTGCCTCCTCAAACACCTTAATGCCCAACATCCACGCATGAAATTCGACGTCCAAGTAGAAAAAGACAACAACAAACTCCAAACAAGTGTCTACAGGAAACCAACCCGCACAGACCAATATCTTCACTTCTCATCTTATCACCCACTGCAAGTCAAGAGAGGTATAATCACCACCCTAACCAGAAGAGCAAAGAACACCAGCTCCACAACCCAAGGCCTTGAAGTCCAGTTAGAACACCTTCGCCATGTCTTCATAAACCTTAATCAGTACCCTGCTAATCTAGTCAACAGAACCATCAAGACCACCCTCAACCCAAAAGACAAACCACCACTTCAGCAATCATCCCCGTTCATCACCAGTATACCATATGCCGATACAACCAGCCATCATATCCGCAGATTACTAAAGAAGCAAGCCAACATAGATGCTGTGTTCCAGAGAGGAACGTCAATTCAGCATATCCTACAAGCCAACAGTAAACCAGCTACAAGCAACAAAGAAGACCCTTCAGGCATTGTCTACTACATTCAATGCAAATGCGGAGACTCGTACATATAAACCCAAATACCCTTCATGTACAGTATATAATTCTCCTTGTGCATATGTTGTGTATCATTTGCTTGATAACAGTGTTAGGATCTACACAGAAATGTCGCATCCACTGCAGTAAAGAATTTGTCTATTCATAAAAAAGTGTTCCTCTTCTCAAACTTGCTCGACGATTCATCTTTGACTGGCAGTTACTATGCAATGTATTCATAAGGAAGCTTTATCAAGTGGCGTTGACTGGAAGCTGAGGGGGGTGACCGGGCCTCAGAGGCCCGGCAAAGCAGTTAATGCAATAATATTTGCTTTTTAAAATTAATGGTAATTATTTCAAAATAATTAAATTGAAACTTTTTCACAGCAATCAGTATTGTGATTTTCAGGAATACATTGAATACTGAACATTTATAGAAAGAAATGAAGTTTGACATACAATCAAAGTGCACTTCGGGCCTCAAATGACCCACTTGGTGGGATAAGGGTTAGACAGATTTAATTGGTGCTACTTTCAAATTGACTTAAAAAATTCCTATATTGGAGTAAGAGAAATCTAAAAAACCTGTGTTTGTTCTTCCTGAAAATAAAATGACAACTGATTTTTTTGCAACTGATATACTCTTAACTGAACATAATGATAAAAGAATTGTTAAATGATATAAGGTTACAGCATAAACATGGGACTGTACCTTGTTCATGATACTGAATAAAATATTGTGTAAATTTATTTCAAGTAATTTTGGATTTTGTTCTCATGGAAATAGAAATAGAAAACTACACAATAAAATATGCTGGCTAAAGATTATACTGCATTCATAATTTGTATGATGCTAATTCAACAACATATGAGACAAAGTTCACATTTTGTTAAAACAGCTGTTTTAAAATCAGCCAAATATCATGTTACATCATGAGGTATATTGCTTCTGGAACTCAGTTTATCTGAAACTCACACACAACTGGTATATAGACTGTATGATATGGAAATTCCTTAGAAACGGACACATTAATCAAAAGATTTTGGTATCCATTCATGATTTCATTAAACAGACAAAAAGAGTTAAAATTGAACACCAAAATGTATATGAATATGCAGTTTATTCCTCATCCCCAACATACCTCCATCACTGGTAATATCTGTTATCTACTATCTATTTCTACCATAATTTTTCATTTGTGACTTGTGTATTGCTGGAGTGGTACTTATATAAGTCACAAGACTTGTTTAACAATCCATTCTGTGAACATGTTATGGAAATAAAGATGTTTAAACCATATTGACTGTCACTAGTCATTCAATGTATTTAGTGTTTGTTGTAAAAGACTAGTATTTGGCACGTGTTCTGACATTATAAACATTTAATTTTCATCATCCAATTATGTCAAAACCGTCACTTGACACTTTTTTTAATGACACCCCTTATGAAAAGTCTAATTAGACACTGCCTTGGCTAAGTGAATAGAGACGCTAATGTTGTCATAGTAATCCGTTCTCTTGTGAGAGACACTTAACTCCAACGGCCTGACTGACCAAACAGACAATCTGGATAAACATCAACTCTGCTTACGTAATGTCGGTGAGGGCGTGTCCTCTTTTGTTCTTTCAAAGTTGCCTGGATTTGAGAAGTAGTCTCTCAATCTAGGAAGCTCTCTTCCCGATTCTACAAGCTCAGTGTGTAACTCGAGAGCTGTCAAAATGTAATTGTCCTTTAAAAGTTTAGTGGCAATCGCATCCCAGGACACTTCTGTTGACTCTGGAGTTACATGCACTTCAGAGATTACAGGCTCTTCGGTGCTAGTGTTTTGTATCTCAGACTCAATATAATCAGTTCCTTCGAAAGGATTCAGGCTCTCCGCCATTTTGTAGATCACGTGGGACGCACCTGGAAATGATATACCAAATCATTTTTTATTTGAAAAAATAACTATTCTTTGCACTTTCTTTTACTTTAAGTGAAGAAAACAGTGTTGAATTTTAATTTAATTGCTCGTGCGGGAAAGACGTCACGTGACAGGGGCCGCGGGAAAGTTAATCATCCAACATGGCGCAGACTCGAGTCAGTGAATTTTTCCCAAGCAAGAAGAAGTCGCGCCACAGCAATGCCACAAAACGGAGAAAAGTGGAACTCACCACAACAGATGATGACATTTCAACTTTAAAACAGGCAGTTAGTAGAAATGTACAGATTCCCGAACAACTGGAAGAGACAAAAGTTGAGTGCACGAAAACCACTTCTCAGAAAACAAAAACAAGCGCACGGACGAAATCGGTTGTGAAGAGCAACCAAAAACCGGTACGGCAATCCACAAGGAAAGGCAAAAATGCTGAAAACGATTCTAGTCAACGTAAGATATCTGATATATTCTCATCCCCGTTCAATGAATACAAAAACAACACCGAGCCATTGTCTTTCAATTTTCAAAATGAAACGTCAGAAGCAGTCCCCTCAGCCTGGGATGAACATGATGGCCCAGACAGCACTCCAACGAAACAGTTACGTCTTAGTGCAGATACGGCAAGTCGCAGGTCACGCAAGGAGATCCAAAATGAGGGTATTACTGAAGAAAATACGCCAGAGAAAGAAAGTCAAGAAGCCTCCGTTGTCCCAACTAAACGCTATGCAAGGAAACGATTACAGATGAGTCAGAAATCAAATGTTGAAAAGACGGTAAGATTCTGTTCGAAATTTGGATAATATAATGCTTTTGTTTCTGGGGGCACCTTTTAGAATAATATGGCATATAATTGTCAAATTCCCAGTTAAGTTTGGAAATCAACAAAGCATTTTAATGAATTAGGCATTGGAGATACAAATGAACATTACAGAAATGAATTTTCACATGATGGTGGGGAGGGTTTGCGGGACTACCCTGGAAGAGAGCTTGAAATTTGACCGTAATGGGTCAACTTGAGTAAGCCTTCATTGTCTTCATATGTTCAGCATTAAAGAATTGACAGATAACCACATAATGGTATTCATCACCAATATCACACAAATAAGAGACATGACATTTTCTTTCTAAGATGGGAATATTATTCCATGTCACAACCACAGTTGGTAGACTGTGGCAGGAAGAAAAGTATATTATAGGCTGAATGCAAACAAAGTTTGGGTAAGAGTTCCTCCCGTTCCCCCATCCCAAATAATATTTATAAATATACTAAAATTATTAACAAAACTTAACACAACAATTACTAGAATTGTAAACCAATAGTGAGTGCTTTCCTTGCAATCTGATTGGTTAATTACCCTTGTCGAATATTGTTCGACATACCTGAAAATGATGGCCTAATAACCGCGACATTAATACGTTGGCACTAATACGTACTATTTTAAGCTGCATGAATTTGCATAATTGAGGAACATTACTACCTCAAATTCTTTCTCTGGGATTTTGATACAATCTTTGAAGGCGACAAATTCTTGGAAGAATTATTCAAAGATGATGGTGTATACAATCACATGGCACATAATCATATGTGATCAGATAACAGTAAAGTGATTGAAGAGCCATAAAATAATATCCTTCAATGATGTTTATTCACAAATGAACTGCTCCGCAAATTTCAAGCATTCGAAAGTATTTAATTTGGCACAATATTCCAAGTTTAAAGATTATTATTCAGCCAAAGAATAAGTTAAGGATACTTGTTTCTAGATAATGATCTTCCAAAATACACCAATGCCAGCACTCCGGACGTTTCCACTTGAAATTCCAGCTAACACTGACCCGCTCCATCTTGTACACTGAGCGTCCCTCCACAGTCCGGCTTTGCTAAGGTTGATGAGAATGGCCTGAGGGAAATAATTGATGGGTCATTATCGAAAAGCAACTGGAGAGAAATACAATTTTCTTCAGAGGTGTACAACGTTTAACATTTTGTAAACAAACCAAAAGGAAGTTACATGTTAGTTACCTCCCTTTAAGCTAGACTGTCACAAGGCTTCTGAACAGAATTATCAAAGGCATAAAACAAATATAGTTATTATTTCTCAAAAACAGCTTTCAACAAGATTTACATCTGATCTTAACACTGAATGATAATATTATGATATACTAAAATAGCAAAAAATAAATACTAATCGTAATAATGAAAAGGTACTAATGCAGTCTAGAAAATCCCACTGACACAAGCCCAAGCATATCAAAACAATTAAAAATGTTGAAATCTTACCTTTTGTGTCCGGTTTCATCCTTGATGTTGTACAAATCCCACATGAATCCCAATAATGAATCGTTCTTTCAACATCCGAAATCTGTAAAATCGATATCCATGATTCTGTTGGGTACACCTCACTTCAGTCGCGATGCGTTGGCAAAATTTCACTGTCACAAATGATGAAAAACATCTCCAAGAATGCCAAGTTGCCACACACATACACAAATCACTGCCTTTCACCCAACAACCGTCATCCTGCTATCCCATGCCGGAATCGAGTTGAAAGTTTAAAATCATACTGCACCGAATCCAGCAGTGTACAGAAGAGATCGTGCTTCGCCATTTTGCAGGGTCTGATCGCCAATCGTCAATTCTCGTGCCGTTGCCACTGTTTCATCATCTTGGCCCTTTCACACTTGCAAAGTTCTTCAATTGTATCCGTGATGGGAATGTTTCAGGGGCATGCACAATTCTACCATAAATGTCAGCAGTTAATCGACAGTAGGCCTAACTTTACACGATCAAATCCTTGTGGTCATTCTTGATTGGACCAGTTCACGTAAGAGTACATGAGGTGGAGAAGGTAGCATAAAATGGAATTCTTTCATTGTCATTGCAATTCCAGTGGTATTGCAGAAATTGAGATTGTAATGTTACTCATCAAGTTTAATTTTAAAATGACTGAATACATTTTGTTTTGTGTATTATATTGACAGTTATTCATTTTGAACATGACGTAACCTATCTCCCCATTAGATAATAGTGTAACCCTTCTTTTGTCGCTTCTCATTATCTGGGGCGACAGCCGAACTTGACCACGAGGAGGCTAACCGCATTGCGACACATGATCAGCTACATTCAAAGAACTCCTTGGAAAAGGCTTTTCACTACAAATTGGTTTTACAATATCGATAAATAGTTTGGTTTGTTCAATTTCGGGGATTCATTGGGAATTGAACATAGGCAAATTTTAGAGTTTAAAACCTCCGCCTAACGAATCGTCGGTTTTAAAACTAAATTTGCTTCTATGTTCAATTCCAATGAACTCCCGGAAATTGAACAAACCAAACTATTTATCTTCTAACTCAAAATGACTAAAAGTCCAAAATTTAAGTTGGGTTTAGGGTTGGGGGAACGGAAGGAACTTTTTCCAAGCATTCTCTCAGCACATCGAAGACCCGGGTTCGATTCCCCCACATGGGTACAATGTTTAAAACCCATTTTTGCTGTACCCCACCGTGATATTGTTGGAATATTGCTAAAAGCGGTGTAAAACCCAACTCACTCATATTAAATAACATCTCTTGTAAGCATTATGGTCAGGATTCTTCTCCATGTCACAGGAATTGAATGTAAGTGTTATTTATTAATGAACTGGTGTTTCAGTCGGTAGTGGATGTGAACACGGTTGTTTCATCCATGAAATTGTCTGAGCAGATGATATCGCCGCTTCCTGTGACACCAGATACCTTGAAAACCCCCACCAAGTCCAAGAGCCCCAGCATCCCAACCTCTCCCAATGTGAAGGCGGCCATAGAGAAGTGTAAAAAGCTAATGCAGTCGGGGCAAGGGGACACAAAGGTGAAGGAGGTATGTACAAAAAGTGTTTTCATGTGTAGCCAAAATTTGTGTCCTTTGTGAGACATAAGTACACTATTCTACCATCCACAGGTTTACTTTCCCTATACATGTTGGAAATCTGTCACCTGAGACAACCGTTGACATCCCCACTACATGTATTGCATACCTGTGACTCAAGGAGCTCTACAACCTATCTTGTGAACAATTACGGTTTGGTTCAATCTGGAAGTTTCTTGTTTAATCTCAGTGGTGACTCCTTGTTAGTTTGCAGACTTTGTTGCATGTAGGACGATGGGGTAGCCTAGTGGTTAAGGTGTTCGCTTGTCACGCCGAAGACCAGGGTTTGATTCCCCACATGGGTACAATGTGTGAAGCCCATTTCTGGTTTCCCCCGCCGTGATATTGCCGGAATATTGCTAAAAGCGGTGTAAAATCAAAACATACTGCATGTAAGAGGCTCACTTTGTTGCATGCAAGAGGCCACCTACTGGATCAGGCCGGTTAGCCTTTCCTAATAGCATAGATTGTTGCTTACAATATCGATTAATAGATTGTTTGGTCAAGTCTCAACAAATATTCAGGCAGTTTTCATCTAGCTAGAACAGTTATTTATGGCATTTAACAGAGAAAAAATGTTTTATCAAAACTAGCCAGGCGTCAGAAGCATTAATACATCAAGTGTCCGAATTCACAAACTGAATTTCCACAATACTGCCGAACCCTACACTTAGGTTCCACTGCTTCATTTCAACATGAACGGTTTTTGATTAGTATGGGTTGAGAGGAAGAAAGTTGCATGTAATCAAATGTAAACATTACAGAAGCAGATCAAAGCTGAGATCAAAGCCAGACTGAAGAAATGTGGCAAGATGGAGGAATTGAAGTCCCAGTTGTCGGACATGAACAAAAAAATAAACCAGCTGAAGAAACCGCTCCCTAAACTCCAGAAGTTTGACAACATTGACATTGAAGTGGAACAACCGGTGATCCAACAAAGCCCAATCAAGAGCAGTCCGGTGAAGAGGTGAGGAATCTGTACATTATTCTGAAGAGATATGGGGAAGGCATTTTACCAAAACAAACCAAAATCTATTTTAGTAATAAGTAGTAGAACTGATATCAGTTATAGTTGTTTGCATGGAATATAGTTATTCCCTACTTAAAGATTTTAAGGGCACTGTTTGAAGACTAGTTGGATTCCAGCTTTTGTCTTCCACTAAAACATGCTATACCCATGGAAGTTTGTGTACAGCTAATATCATGTTATATTATATTCAATTATTGGAGTAATGCAGTCTAACAGAAGCATGTCTCCTCCATCCTTCAGAATTGGGAGTTGATATAAATGATATGCGTATATGGAATTCCTCAAGATTTTGTGTAGGCAGTAATAAAAGCCAAAACAGATTGATGTTACATTTGTAAAAGTAGTTGTGCTGTATTTTACTACAGTCGTCCAAGATGTTGAATACCATTGTCCTATCATTGATGCCATCCCTGTAAGCATTTCTCTGTATGAGCATTAAGTTTAAGAAGGGTTGTCTAGGTAGTGTAAGTCTGCCAAGTTTCCGCCCAAGTACAGGTGGTATACCATCCAATCACAGATAACGGGATCGGGTGGTCAGGCTCGCTGGCTTGGTTGACACATGTCATTGGTTCCCAATTGTGCAGATCGATGCTCATGGTGTTGATCACTGGATTGTCTGGTCCACTCGATTATTTACAGACCACCGCCATTTTGCTGGAATATTGCTGAGTGAGGCGTAAAACTAAACTCACTCCAATCACAGAATGTAACTGCAAAATTGGTGTCTTGTCACAATGTTGATGTGATGCACTCTTCTCATGTTATTTCAGTGAAGCCAAGGATCCAGCATACATGCGACACCACACGCTAGCTAGTCCCATTCCCCCCACGCTGACCCTCCCCTACAAGTACAAGCTGCTGATGGAGATGTTCCGGGGCATGGACACAGTCGTCAGTATGATGCACAACCGCTGTGAGATCTGCACCTTCTCCAAACTCAAGGTGGCGGTGCAGACTATGACAAAACGGTATGTACTGTAAGGTTGTATGGAAACCGTGCATGTCTGTAATGAATTGTAATCGTTCGTTTTCTCTCTGTTGTATGCTACAAGTTGGTCATGTTGTGTGACATCCATTGGGAACGTGGGTTTGAATGTGCAGCCTGTGCTTGTCATGATGGATCTGGTGGACAGGATCAGTGAATGCTGATTGCCTGTCAGAATATGTGACAGCCTGGATTATTGCTGTTAATATTGTTTATTGGACTGTCTATTCCATACTCAGTTATAACACAGTTTCTTTGTGTGTAGCTGGAATAATGCTGAATGGAGAATACTATCACCCTCTCGCATGCAGTCACGGACACTCGCACGCCGCACGCACACACACACACCTATAAGATAGTTACTCAGGTTTGATATTGAGTTAAGTGACAGGGCTTGTTATATGTGACTAGATTTGACGGTGTCTCGCTTACATATCCTGGTTGTAGGAACTTTGAGCAAAAGAACGTCCAACAGATAAAACATGTCTACCCAAGTGCCTACCACTACCGTCAGGAGAGAGTCCCATGCTACGGGAAGAAAATGAGTGACTATCAGCTGACTGTTGAAGCCAACTTGAGTGAAAATCCATGTGAGTGAACAACCTTGAAATGACTGAGTCATTGATTCGTTTTCATGTGCTTGGAATAAATATTTGGTTTTCTTAAAGTCATACCAGTTTTGACAAATTTGATTCAACTGAAAGCTTGTTTTCAACATTATTTTGCATGAGAACCATAAATGATTATGAACTTCCGTCTTTATGAATAATAATTAATATACAAAGGGTTTAATGTTTTGCTAGAGAAGATGTAGATCCAAAAGAAGGATCTTGTAAACTAGAGTGATGGTCCAAGCTAATAAAATACTTCTAAATAACGTCTTGTCCCTGAATCCATGTCATGTGTAAGACTCACATCGAGCACCTGTTGACCTTTTTTACCTGATCCACAGGTGGCTGTCTGAAGTTGGGGAACAAGGATGGAAAACTGAACTTTAGCGCCACCCAGCTGCTGCAGAGGAGGCAGACCTTCCATAATGGCTTGATATCCATTGTCAAGCAGCATCACCAGGTACAACTTACTGCTTCCAATGTGTAGATTACTGTTATCCCTAGAGGGGCGGTGGGGTAGCCTAGTGGTTAAAGCGTTGGCTCGTCACGCCGAAGACCCGGGTTCGATTCCCCACATGGGCACAATGTGTTAAGCCCATTTCTGGTGTCCCCAGCCGTGATATTGCTGGAATATTGCTAAAAGAGGCGTCAAACTAAACTCAGTCAGCCAGTCAGTTATCCCTAGTAGGGGTGAGAGTTGTCCCCTTTGGCCACACCAGATTTACTGTCAAGTTTTGATTTGCAGTGAATACTGAAAACGTCTCCGACCTGCACCACTTTGTGTTTTCATCCCACATGATGAGGTTTTGTGAAATAATTCAACTATTGTTCAGGGGGTTACTCAAAAGGTTTCAGGCTAGGCTCTTACTGTCAATAATTCCAACAGATTTAGTTGGGGTTTTTGGGTGTTTTTTTGTATGTGTGTGTCTCATCCATTGTGACAAAACATCTCTTCTCACCCTTGTTATCAGGCCACCACGATGTAACTTGGGATATTACGAAATACACATGATCACTGACTTACCACAGAAATCATTTTGAATGTTCATACCTACTGTAATATCTAAACATGGTAGGTTTTGTGAGGTAGTCTGATGGTTAGTCGTCATGTTGAAAACAGGACTCATGTTTGTTTACAATACGTGGAGCCCAAACAGTAATCTTGCAGAAATGGGCGGTGGGGTAGCCTAATGGTTAAAGCATTGGCTCGTCACACCTGGTTCGAATCCCCACATGGGTACAATGCGTGAAGCCCATTTCTGGTGTCCCCCGCTGTGATGTTGCTGGAATATTGCTAAAAGCGGCGTAAAACCAAACTCAGTCAGTCTTACAGGAATATTGCTGAAAGTGATGTACAACCATTACATTCACCCTTCAAGAAGAAGTGAATCTCGCCTATACCTCATTACGGATATGTTGTCTTTATGCCTGTAATGTTCTTCACACACACACTTATTTACCCTGTAATTTGTCCAGTTTTTGCAAGAAGTGTTGTGGAATATTTCATGAAATGACCAATATCGACTCTTCTGAGGACATGGGGCGGTTTGGTGGCCTAGTGGTTAAGGCGTTCACTCATCCCGCTGAAGACCCAGGTTTGATTCCCAACATGGGTACAATGTGTGAAGCCCATTTCTGGTGTCCCCCCGCCATGATTTTGCTGGAATATTGCTAAAAGCAGCGTAGATTCAAACTCACTCACTCACTTGTGAGGACATGCACATTTGCTATGTTGATGACAGTTGTTCTTCATGTCTGCAGGAATTCTTGGCTAACCTGTCTCGTCCCCTGAACATACCAGAGAGTAAGGTCACAAGGTGGCACCCCAACTTCCATGTGGATGAGGTACCTGAGGTTGAGTTGTCTTCCCTACCTGAGCCTCCCAATGTCCGCAAGTACCAGTCAGCCAAGGACGTCCTTGAAGTCACCCGAGGAAAGCTGATTCCAAAGGTTAGAGAAACTGACTAGAACTGAAACAAAAAAACACCTAGATTTGATCAGTTCAGAATATTTGACTTTAAGAGAGCTGATGCCTTTTAAGTCTGGACACATTTCTAGTCATTGTTTGGCTGTCATTATTGCTATGTGGAACTAACATATCTCGGTATTTGAGGTTGTCAGTTGTAGGACAAGTCAAACCGTATCCCTTCATGACATCTGTTAATTATTTGTGATCACTAGAATCGAATCATGAATGTTTAGAAAGGGTGTGTTTAGATTTAAATTTAGGCGTTATTTTTTGAAGTGATATATACCTAATTGCATATATCCAAGCCAGACAAGACGGTCAACACTCTTATATATTTGATTTGACAGTAATGTGGTCACTGGTCACGGCTGTGATAAATAAACACTGGTCAAAACTTCTGAAGGCATTTGTTTTATCTTTCCACTGAATATAAGAATACTGTAAATCATGAAATTAATGCGTCACAAATTTAATGCGAGTACGAGGGTCTAGTCTAAAATGCGTTACGAAATTAATGCGAGCTTAGGAATCTGTGTTGATGATAAAATGAATTGAGCTTGTTAAGCAATGAATGGAAATGAGCTGACGATGTTTTGATTACGTTGCCATGTTTGATCACGTGATTGCTTGCTACTACTTGATTTATGACAACATAAACGTAATCTGACTTGAAAGACACAAGTCATCTACCAAGGTACAACAAACAAGTGGCTGGAGAATGTCCGGCCTGGCTGATGTGCTTGAGTGACTTTAAACAATGACCAGTGGTTGTAACGAGTTATAATTACATGTGACTTGAGATGCCTGTAATGAGGAAGTGACCTGTATTGGTGTAATGTGTAGTGTCGACAGATTTACGTTTTCTGTCTTTTAATAAGTAGACATGGTCAGACTGAAGTGCGTCATTATAATAATGCGAGAAGAGTACAGACGCATTTTGTGCATTAATTTCATAATTTACATGATTTAAATACATCAACTGTATTATTGTAATCGTTACCCAGGATCCATATTCATCACCCAATATTTTTTATATGTATTGAATTTGCCTCATGGTGGAGTCGTTGCAACCCTGGTCATTTGGTATATCGCAACATTGAACAATCCAAGAAAAGAACTCAGTTTTGAATGCTTTAAAATACATTGGCCACTACTGAAAACAACCTCGGATATAGTTTCACTTAAACAATTATTCTTCTGCAATTCGACTGCTTATTTTCCCAAGTCACACGTTTTTCCTTGTTCTCCCATGGCGCTTGAATGTGATACATAATGTTGTCTTTCTCTAGGTGGAACAAGCACTTGCTGATGTGGCCAAAAACTCATCAGCAGCAGTAAAACTGAAATAAAACAAGAACCGAATGTCCAAGCCTCCACTGCTACAACAGCCATGAAGGGCGTTCCATCATCGCTGCTTGAGAGGGTGGGTTTATTTGTCATTTACATTTCCATGTAATTATCCCCTGCAACGCGTTTTGCGGGGGTATTAAAATGGACTCAGTCTGTGCGTGCGTCCGTGCACATTTGTCTTTTCCGGAGCAGAACTTTAAAACCGTTCACTATTTCTTCACCAAACTTGGCACATGGATAGATCTGGTGGTGTACTGGTGCCTTTTGGTAGTTTTGGTATTCTGAATTAAATATTTTTTGGCGTTTCCATGGCAAAAATTTTGACTTAGACTGAAATTGGTGGTAGTGCTCTTTTCTGGAGCAGAACTCTAAAACCGTTCAATACTCTCCTTCCACTTTTCTATATACACTCCAAAACATTTGACATAATCATAACCTGAGACATATTCATGAAGAGTATTTTGCCATTGCGGGGGATATTGATGACTTTGTCTTCTTGTTTAACCTGTAGTTTGGTCTGTCTTATCTACAGATATAAGGCTTGTAATTATACCCTGTAAATGAAGAGCCACTAAAACTGCATTCACAATGTCTGCTTGCAGCTTAGGCGACTAGGACACAATCAAAGTCTTGTACAATTCTTTTAGGTCCAGTGAGCTTGGCCTACAGTGGTCTGGGATTCGGAAAAGCAGGGGCCATGGGCCATTTTGCACATTAGAATAAAAAATTAAAATTTCGAAGTTTACTATTGATACAAGGGCAGTGACCCATTCTTAATTCAGAAAATGACTAATAATCCTGAAAATGGCCCTTTGTCAAAGTTTTCTAATCCCAATCCCTTTGTAGTCCATTTAGTGATAGTAACATCTGCACAAGGATGCTAAGATCCGGGTTTGAGATCCTTGTCACAGCAGTATTGACATTTGTCTGACTTGTTACTGTGTAAATAAATAGTTACATAATGTCCCAAGATTTGTTATAGAGATTCATAATTTGAATTAAAGATCTTGTTTGACAGTCTAATTTGTCAGACAATGTCCTGATACTGTTCAATCATTGGCTATTGGCCATGGTTCCTCATGTTTGAATGTCATCCCCAAACTTGTATCCTGTTAAGGCCAGACACTGCACCTCACATATGACAAAATGCTTAACAAGTATTTGTTAGGTTTATTTAGTTTAAACTTAGAGGTATACATGTTAACAATCGATAAAGAGTCTTTTCCAGGTGATGGTGCCACCGGTTGCCATGGAAACGTCCAAGATGGACGCTGCAAGCCTGAAAAAAGATGAAATTTAGTGAAAGTTTTTCTCTAAAACTAATAAAGATATCTATATAATTTCAACTTTACAACATACCTTGGGGTGTGTAGGGTGCAATGACAGAGATATATTTTAAAAAAGACTTATTTTATTTAAAAAATTTGTTTTAAAAAATCACTTTTGGGGGTGATTTTCACTCATATTTCATTTTTAAAAAGAAAACCGAGGGGCAACAAATTTGAAAAAGTCTCTCTGTTATTGCATAAAGTAATCAACTGGCTATATGTACACAAAATTTCATTGAAATCGGGGCCAGTAACAACTGAGAACTATGTTCACTAAGATCGAAAATGGCCGATATATGGAGAAAATAAGGAAATAAATTTGGTTGTGTTTTTCCCTACTGTGTTTGTACGAGATAAACACATTCAAAGTCTCAGTTTACTGAAGGGATGTATTCCAAATACATGAAGCAATTCATATACAAAATTCCTTTGTGGGGCACAAAAAAAGACATAAAACTACCCCCTACATACCCATACAACCACCATGCCCATCAGTAGTCCAGTTGGTTAGGTTGCAACACAAACTCTATCCTTATGTCACTTGCTGGCTGCCATGTTTGGTGTGAAGTTTACGGTGAAAATGATGCATGTTTGGGGGAATTTGTAGGCTTGTACTGCCAATCATTTGAGGAGAAATATCTAACTGCATTAAGTATACTTAATCTGGGAACAATACGGGCTACCTTCCACAATATTGAAGCCTTTGTGTCTTTTTGATATTGGACACATCAATATAAACAGATGAATAAATACTCAGCTTTCGTTGATATGTTTGATGTAAAAAGGCGTTAGGGTGTGTTTCATCCAAAATCACTCTTCAGACTATTGTCTCATGTAAAACGTTCATCAAACTAGCTTCAGTAGCTTTAACAGTGACTGTGACACCATGGTAACCGATGATGTCATTGACATTATTGTCTGTAGATATCACTTGTGATACAAGTGATATGCACGTATCCAAGTAGATATCACTTGATCACATACAAGTGATATGACCTGTGGATGCACGTATCCAAGTAGATATCACTTGATCACATACAAGTGATATGACCTGTGGATGCAAGTATTGGATGATAACTCTACAAGTTAATGTCTCTAAAGTGCTGCTGGGAAGATGATGTTGGCTTGTACATCTACGTCTTTAGCATAATATTGTTGATGCAACGTTAACAGGCTTCATTGACCATATGGATTAGGATGACGCCGCAAGTTACTAGTATAATACTGAGCAGTCTGTGATCAGCCATTTGGTAGGGTGACGTGTAATGTGTCTGTTGAGAAAAATTGGGTTTATTTCATTGAAATAAATTTCAAATTGTGTGTGAGATAGTCTTGTAAGAAATTTTGTAAGTTCTTTAGACATGATTATGTTTGAATAAGTTTCTCAATGTGTTGCACCTGTGAAGGTCTGGGTTAGAATTGATCTTCAGTAACCCATGCTTGTCGTAAAAGGCGACTTACGGGATCAGGTGGTCAGGCTCGTTGATTTGGTTGACACATGTCATTGTATCCCAATTGCGTAGGTTGATGTTCATGCTGTTGATCACTGGATTGTCTGGTCCAGGCTCGATTATTTTCACACCACCGCCATATAGCTTGAATATTGCTGAGTGCGGCATAAAACTAAACTCACTGACTGTTGCATACACTATCGTTAACAGGCTTCGTTGATAGTGTGGATTAGGATGACGCGGCAAGTTGCTGGTATAATACTGACCAGTCTGTGATAAGCTTTTTTTTTTTTAAGGGTGGCATGGTGTAATGTGAAATTGGGTTTATTTCATTGAAATAAATTGCTCGCTCCTGCCAGATATTCTTGAAAGCAGTTTGTCAGTTCTTGTTGAGACATGACTATGTTTGAATAAGTTTCTCAATGTGTTGCAATGTGTTTCTCTTAGGCCAGCATGTATTTGATTATGTAAATTATGTAAATAAATTATCAATCTGAGAACATTTTCTGTCATGATAAAACAATGACCGCTGCTTAAGGCAGACCATGAAATGAGACAGGGAACGCCCCTGGTATAAACAATCACCTGGATCCTGTACCCCTGGTATATACAATCACCTGGATCCTGTACCCCTGGTATACAATCACCCCTGGTATATACAATCACCTGGATCCTGTACCCCTGGTATACAATCACCTGGATCCTGTACCCCTGGTATATACAATCACCTGGATCCTGTACCCCTGGTATATACAATCACCTAGATCCTGTACCCTGGTATACAATCACCTGGATCCTGTACCCCTGGTGGTATACAATCACCTGGATCCTGTACCCCTGGTATATACAATCACCTGGATCCTGTACCCCTGGTATATACAATCACCTGGATCCTGTACCCCTGGTATATACAATCACCTAGATACAATCACCTGGATCCTGTACCCCTGGTATATACAATCACCTGGATCCTGTACCCTGGTATATACAATCACCTGGATACCCTGTACTGTACCCTGGTGGTATACAATCACCTGGATCCTGTACCCTGGTGTATACAATCACCTGGATCCTGTACCCCTGGTATATACAATCACCTGGATCCTGTACCCCTGGTATATACAATCACCTGGATCCTGTACCCTTGGTATACAATCACCTAGATCCTGTACCCCTGGTATATACAATCACCTGGATCCTGTACCCTGGTGGTATATACAATCACCTGGATCCCTGGTATATACAATCACCTGGATCCTGTACCCATGGTGGTACAATCACCTGGATCCTGTACCCTGGTATATACAATCACCTGGATCCTGTACCCCTGGTGGTATATACAATCACCCTGGATCCTATATACAATCACCTGGATCCTGGTATATACAATCACCTGGATCCTGTACCCTATACAATCACCTGGATCCTGTACCCCTGGTGGTATATACAATCACCTGGATCCTGTACAATCACCCCCTGGTGGTATATACAATCACCTGGATCCTGTACCCTGTGGTATATACAATCACCTGGATCCTGTACCCTGGTGGTATATACAATCCACCCCTGGATCCTGTACCCTGGTATATACAATCACCCTGGATCCTGTCCCCCTGGTATATACAATCACCTAGATCCTGTACCCATGGTGGTATATACAATCCTGGATCCTGGATCCTGTACTGGTGGTGTATACAATCACCTAGGACCCTGGTGGTATATACAATCACCTGGATCCTGTACCCCTACCCCTGGTGGTATATACAATCACCTGGATCCTGTACCCCTGGATATATACAATCACCCTGACCCTGTACCCCTGGTATATACAATCACCTGGATCCTGTACCCCTGGTGGTATATACAATCACCTGGATCCTGTACCCTGGTATATACAATCACCTGGATCCTGTACCCATGGTGGTATATACAATCACCTGGATCCTGTACCCCTGGTATATACAATCACCTGGATCCTGTACCCTGGTATATACAATCACCTGGATCCTGTACCCCTGGTATATACAATCCTGTACCCCTGGTATATACAATCACCTGGATCCTGTACCCCTGGTATACAATCACCTAGATCCTGTACCCCTGGTGGTATATACAATCACCTGGATCCTGTATATATACAATCACCTGGATCCTGTCCTGTACCCCCCCTGGTGGTATATACAATCACCTGGATCCTGTACCCTGGTATATACAATCACCTGGATCCTGTACCCCTGTATATACAATCACCTGGATCCTGTACCCCTGGTATATACAATCACCTGGATCCTGTA